CCCCTGGGTTCAATTCCTGGTGCCAAAAACAAAAAACAAACAACACTCATCCCCAACAACAACAACAAAAGGCTGGGGTTCCAGAACAGAGCAAGCAAGCAACCAAACAAACCAACCAACCCAGCAGAAATGTAGTCTGTCAGTTGTGGAGAAGTTCACAATCAAGGTGAAGCAGGGCTGGTCTCTTGTGGCTGTGAAGAAAAATCTTGCACCTGCCAGCAATTCTCGGCAGTTCCTCGGTTTTTGACTGATCTCTCCAGTCTCTGTCTCATGGCCTTCTCCCTCTTGTGCATCTCTGTGTCTCCTCCTATCTGTCTGTCTATCTATCTATCTATCTATCTATCTATCTATCTATCTATCTATCTATCTATTGAGATCCTGAGGGTTGAAGCCAGGGCTTTATGGATGCTAGGCAAGCATACTATCACTGAGTTGCATCCCCAGGTCTTTATTTTATTTGAAACAGGGTCTCACTAAGTTGCTGAGGATAGCCTCAAACTTTCAATTCTCTTGCCTCAGCCTCCTGAGTCACTGAGATTGTAGGCATGCACCACTACCATTCGATCTCCGCTTCCTCTTCTTACAATGACAGTAGTCATTGAGTGTAGGACACTCTTAGATACCTACCAAGACTCCCAGTGGATGTCTGAAACCACAGATAGAACCAAATCCTATATGTACTGTTGTTCCCTATACATATACGTCTATAATAAAGTTTAATTTATAAATTAGGCACAGTAAGAGATTAACAATAACAATTAATTGTAAAATAGAATAACTATAGCAATTACTATAATGAAGTTATGTGAATATGGTCTTCCCCCCTCTCCTCTTCCTCCTCTCTCTCTCTCTCTCTCTCTCTCTCTCTCTCTCTCTCTCTCTCTCCTTTTCTTTCCCTCTCTCTTTCTCTCTCTACCCACTTCCAGAGAACTCTGTTTGGCCCCTGGGATCTGAGCACTCAGCACAAGATGGTCAAGACAGTCCCAGCAAAAGGTGCTCAGTGAGGAAAGCAAACGTTACAAACATATTTTAAAAATAGCCCAGTGACCAGGGAGGGGTCACTGGGGGACAATGCTCTACTTCTTGAGCTGGATGTTAGTTTCCTTATTCTTATACCTTTTTTCTTTTCACAGGTACATGATATACGTTTTATAAGGTATTTCACACATAAAATTAAAAATGCAGAGTTTTTTTGTTTTGTTTTTGCAGCACTCTGTCACCCTAAGCCTCACATAGGCTGGGCAAGCACCCTACCACTGAGCTACACCCCTACCCCTAAATGCAATGCATGTCTTCAAGAGCTGACTTGCAAAACTCAAAAAAAGCAAACAGTTCTGATGCACTCAATCCTCTCCTAGTGTCTAACTGCCAAAAAGCTGTTTGATACTCAGGAATGGGCCTGACCTCAGTATGATGACTCCTTCAAACTGGCACAGATGGTGAGAAATCTCAGACTCTGAATAGAATCTCAAAACAGCTCCCCAAATACCTGACTCGTTTTATGATCCCCTTTTTTTTTTCTAGACCCAAGTGGGAAAAAAGAAGAAAGCAGGACTGGGAGTACAGCTCAGTGGTAGAGTGCTTGTCTAACATGTGCAAGTCCCTGGGTTCCATCCCAGTACCACAAAAATAAAACTAAATTTTAAAAACTTAGCAACAAGGGCTGGGGTTGTGGCTCAGTGGCAGAGCTCTTGCCTAGCACTGTGAGGCCCTGGGTTTGATCCTCAAACCCATATAAAAATAAATAAATAAAAATAAAGGTATTGTGTCCATCTACAACTAAAAATAATTTTTAAAAATTAACAACAGCTAAAAGTTTCTCGCCCCCACCCCCATGCTCTCAGTACTAGGGACTGAACACAGTTCCTTGCAAATGTGAAATGAGCAGATACCACTGAGCTACATCCCAAGTTCTTTTTTTTTTTTAATATTTATTTTTCAGTTTTTGGCAGACACATCTTTGTTTGTATGTGGTGCTGAGGATCAAACCCGGACCACACGCATGCCAGGCAAGCACACTACCACTTGAGTCACATCCCCAGCGCCCCCCGGTTCTTTTTTTAAAAAAAAATATATTTTTAATTTTTTATTCTAATTTGTTACATATGACAGCAGAATGCATTACAATTCATATTACACAAATAGAGCACAATCTCTGGTTGTATACAAAGTATATTCACACCATTTGTGTCTTCATACATGTACTTTGGATAATAATGTCCATCCCCAGTTCTTTATTGAATGGGTCTCACTGAGTTGCCAAAGCTGGCCTCAAACTTGTGATCCTCCTGCCTCATCCTCCCAAATAGCAAAGTGTTCTGCTTAAGGTACCTTATGCCCAAATCTCTCAGCAACCCCACCTCCACTCCCAGCCTCAGGGACTACCAGTAATGCCTTGTCTCCCAATCTTGTAAGGAACCTCAAATGCAGGGTTTCCTCCAAGCTTGCAGAGGAGGAACTCAAATATTTCCTGAACTTTACTCTTATTGTGGAAGAAAAACAGTAGTCTAATGTTTAACCCTACCCCAGGGGCCAGAGCATCTAAGAAAGGGGAAGATCAAAAGCACCTCCTGTGCTGTTTTGCACCAATCTGACAAGACAGATCAGAACACTTGATGATATCTGAGTTGGACTGGGAGGAGGAAACAGGCCTTCCCGCTGAACAGCTCAGAGAAGAAAGACTGATCATTTAGAGACACATGCCCTTTAACCAAGCCACTCCTAAGAAGTACAAGTAGTTGGACCTAAATGCCATGCAGACGGAGATTTTGAAGTGCCTGAGCACAGCTGAAGCCCGCCTACATTCACACCAGATTTGCTGATACAGAACTCTATCTATTCACTGCAGCTCAATTTATAACAGCAAAAGATGGGTGACAGCTTAAACAGCCATCAGTAAGGGCCTGGCTCCTCAGTCACAGACTACTTCTAGAAAGAAATATTAGAAATTATTAACAGCACAGGTGCATCCAGAGGGTCTGGGTACAGATAGAGACCTGCTTGGTTTTTAATTATATGCACCTCTGTGCTGGTTTTCTAAAAACCATATACATCAATTACATTGTCAAAGTTTAATTATATATATATATATATATATATATATATATATATATATATATAAATGTATACATATACACACAAGTACAAGTATGTATGTACAATACACACCTATATGCACATACATATTTACAAACATAAACACCCAAACCCATATGTTTTATTTTTTATTAAATTAATTTTTTTTTGTAGTCCTGGGGATCAAACCCAAGCTAGCAAGGGCTCTGCCACTGAGCTGCATCCCCAGCTGCTGCAGGCCCCTAATATATGATTACATGATGATCCCTTTAGCAATTGGATGGAAAATCCCAATGGCCTCAGTTTCCCCAGAAGAAGCTGAAGGTGACGTGGCCCTGAGGAACATTCTGGCATCCTGGTTGCAGGGAGACAGGCAGGAGTAAGAAGCACTATGCAAGCCCTACAGGAAATGGCATGTTGCTGCTTTTCAACAACAAAGCCACCGACCTCCTTCTATGCTGCACACATGCAAATGAGACTCAAGGGAACTTGAAAAGTTCCAGAAGAATCATTATTCCCAGCACCACACAGACTCCAGTTTTGCAGTTTAGCTTTAAATGGCTGCAACATTAGCTCGCCTGACTCTGGAAAGTATTTCCTTACTCTCAGTTTAGTGGCTTCAAGAGCTTGCACAGATCAGAGGGCCTGGGTCTGTGCCCTCGCCAACACCTCCCCAAAGGATGAGCTATCCCACTCCTATATGCCTCGGCACCGGGCCCCAGGGCTTGGAGACACAAGCTTGGATGCCACGGATAGGCTGCCCCTTTCAGCTAAGCCTTTCCGGATTCAGAAAAAGTCACGATTCCTGAGAGGAGCATGGGGGTGGGGTGGTATTTCCCTCCAGGTCAGAGTAGGAGGCCCCACACCCCTGGAGATCAACACAACAGATGGGCAAAAATGGGGGAAGTAATCGATGAAGAAGGTGGGCAATGCTCGGGAAGAGATGGACTCTGTCTCCAGCATTCTAGTGGCTTTAGGTTTGTCGCTGCCAAAATGGGGATGATTCTGGTTTTGTCTGGCTGATGGGATTATTCTAAAGCCTTATTTCTGTCAGCACTGTTATAAACTGAAAGATAAAATTGGGTGGGCTTTTGTTTGGGAAGGGTACAGTAATCTTGAGACCCAAGGCCTGGGTGAATGTTGGAGGACCTGGGGGATCCAGGGAGGATAAACACAGAGGTGCACTTGTGAAAAAGCATAAGAGGTGGGGTGGGATAAGAGGGAGGGAGGGAGAGATGGGGCTGCTAGAAGCATAAGGGCAGGTGGGGTGATACACAGGGCACCCACTCAGGTTTCTGAAGGTGTGTTGGGGAGAGGGGTAGCACAGACCTGAATATGAGGAGTCTGTGAAAGGAGAGGCACAGGCCCGGGTGACGGACTGGGAGACGTAAGAGAGGGGTGGAAGGCTCAGCTGTTGGTGTGGAGGTTGCGGCAGCAGTTGTGGAAACTCCTGTGGGGTTGGGAGGGTCACAACATCAACTGTGAGGTTGTCATATACAGGGACAGTCTCAGGGTGTCCATGAGTGGGGGCCCGGTGTCAGATTGTGAAGCAGGATGTCAGACTCAACTGTGCAAGACAGGGGATGGAGATCAAGGAGGTGGGCACGAGTCAAGAGGAGAGGAGCATGTCAAGGAGGCCAGTCTCAGGTGTTTGGGGGGGGGTGTCAAGTAAGGGACGTGGTCAGGTGTGCGTGGGCTGTGAGTGAGAGGGCTCAGATCTGGCTCTGGAGACTCCCTGACGGCATCAGATGTGGGATCGGGGTCGGGGGTCTTTAACCTCAGTCCCTGGGACGCTGCTGTCACGCTCCGCCTCCCCCGCCTCCGCCCTAGGGTCCACGACAGGACCCGTGCAGTGCCTCAGTTCGGTCTGGCAAGCGCGGCCCCCTGACGCCTGCGCCGCCCCGCGCCCCCCGCGTCCAGCTCACCTGCTCGGACGCGTCGCCGCCGCCACCGCCGCCACCTCCAGCTGCCACAGCCCCGCCTCGCGCACCCCCAGTGCGCGCCACGGGAGGGGTACACGCTGGGTTTCGATTGGCTGCTCTGTGACTAATCAGCGCTGGAGACGGTAGGAATTGGCGGGCATGAAGCGGACAGACAGCCCGTGAAGCCAATCGCTGAAGACTAGAGGCAGGGCTACTGGGAGAGGCTCTGGTCCCCCGGAGCGTTCCTGCGGGGTGCGAGGTCCTGGGAGGCAGGGCCCTGGAGCAGGCGAGGATTGGAGCCTTGGCAGAAAACCGGCAGTCCTAACTACCAATCACTGAGCATCGAGGGCGGGGCTCCAAGTAAGCCGGCGCGACTGGCGGGGCAGAGGTGAGAGGGACGGAGGGAGTAGCCTGAAGAGCAACAGTGATTGGCTGCTAAGGCGAAGACGGGCAGGCCCCGTGGCTAATCGTAGCAGCCATGGGCGGTGCGCCAAAGGATTCGGGTGTGTGTGTGTGGGGGGGGGTAGTGTAAGGTGCAGTTTGACCCGCCGTGCTGCTGCAGGAGGTGGCCTTGGACGCCCCGCACTGTCTCCTGAGGCTCCGGCGAAGAGTCTGCCCTCTGGCTACCCAGCGCAGAAGTGGGGCCTCCTACTCTGACCGTGAACTTGGACCTTAAAAGTTGAAGGATTCTTAGATAATCCTTCAGCCCTTTCCTCCCCACTACTCCCCTGCAAATGACACAGAGGGCAGAAACTCGCTGGAGGTCACCCAGAGCGCCGCCCTTTGCAGCTCGGGGTGGTGTGCAGACGTGGAATAAAGAAGGAGAGGCCTACTGAAAAGCTCTGTGTGATTCCTGAAAGTGCCTTTAATAAATATATATATATATATACACACACCAATGGACCTTTATTTTTATTTATATGCGGTGCTGAAAATCGAACCCAGGGCCTCATTCATGCTAGGCAATAGCTCTACCACTGAGTCACAACCCCAGCCCCTGAAAGTGCCTGACTTTTGAGTTCAAGCTTTCTCCTTCGTGGGATCCAATGACATCCCTGTTGGGCCTCCTCCCGCTAAGCCTAACATTTCAAATTGGAAGGATGTGACAGATGTGAATTAACTCAGTCTTAACCACAACCCCAAGATGTCGAAGCGACCACTGACAGAAACCAAAACACAGGTCAAGCTTCTTGTGCAAGACTGCACAGCACTTTAGTTATCCCATCTAGAGATGAATCTCCAAAAAGCAGGTTTTCACAGAGTAAGACAATACCAGAGAACTGCCGCTGAGGACCTGAATTACCTAGGTTAGAATCCTCTTCCAGTCACTGGTCCACTGGATAACCTTGGGCAAACACTTGTGAGCCTCAGATTTTCTCATTTGAAAAATAGGAAAATGTGCTGAGCCTGCAGGTTGCTTAGTATACCTAAGACCCCAGGTCTTCTGTTCTCTTGTCAGCAGGCTGGCAACAGCCAACCTCCCTGCCACCCTCCAACAATGGCAGAACTGGAGGAAAAAAAATAAATGATTTCTAAACCTTGATCTTTCCTCTTTGGAATTGCTTTTCTTGGGGAATTTATAAGCCAGCTTTTGCTTTTATCTTCTGGCGAAAGCCTTTGACCCTCAACAGGTCACGTCTGGCCTGTGAGCCTCACTCTGTCTGTGAAGTGGGTTCATGGCATTTTTTTGCACTTGCCAGCAGTTTAGAGAGACACCTGCCACCCTGTGCTCTCAACTGTTAGCTAGCAACATCTCCCCCAAGCCCTCTCTGTTCTTTGAATCACCAAGTGTACTCCTTTAATCTTCAGGGCAGAGAGGTTACCACATTGGCTCTTATTTCCTCCAAGTGCAGGCTGGGCTTGGTGGAGATCAAGTTCAGAACAAGAGAATCTTGGGAGGAAGCAAGGTTAAGCTTAATAAGGGTTCACATTTCAGAGCTATGTAAACCCCCTTGCTCAATGCTTGATCCACAAAGTTTCAAACTGGAAGGATGTTTCAGAAGTTCACACTGTGAACGTCTCTGGCCCAAGGCTACCATCTAACTCCTGATAGTCCCATGATTTTCCCACATTGGCTTCTTCTCCCACCTGTGGTTTGCTTTCCTGAAGTCTCCAGGCCCTGTTCCTCATTCTGTCCTCTGGGGGAAGACAAGGAAGTTGAGGTTTATTAAACACCTCCTGGTGTCAGGTCCCAGTTGGGTTAGGATAGGGTCTTCCCCAACACCATTTCCCAACCTTCTCTTCCAGGTGTAGGTGACGGCACCCACTTTGCAGATGACTAAACTGAGTCTCTCATGGCCAGTGTTCCTTGGTGAAAGGGCTGGGTTCAAATCCCTGATCTTTTTGCCATGCTGGGGACTGAACCCAGGGCCTTCCAAGTAAGGCAAGGGCTCTACTGCTGAGCTATGTACCCAGTTCTGTTCTTTTCTACTTATGGGTCACAGGAATTTTAGTAAGAGACTCAAGCTCCCTGCCTCAGTTTCCCAGAGCAACATTAATGAAAGGGAAGCAAAACATTTACAATAGTTTTGTCCTTAATAAGTGCTGGCTGAATACTAGTGGTAGATACATTATCATTCTCTAGTGCTTTATGGACATGGACCAGCTACAGGGGTAGGTTGCCAACCAACGAAGATATCTATGTTGGAAGAACCCCAGCTCTCAGTACCCAGCCTGCCAGACCTTGTGAGGGAGGTAACAAAGCTCCTGGAAGGCCCCATGGCACCCCTGGGGACAGTGCCAACGGAGGCAAGGGTCAGGCAGCAAGCCAGCACCATGCTGCCTCTGCTGATGTGCCAGAGGCACTAGCTGGGCTCTGGCTTCTGTTCCCTTGTCAGCAGGCTGGCAACAGCCAAACCTCCCTGCCACCCTCCAACCATGGCAGACAATGCCCCTTGGCTCCAGCAAATGACACCCTCATCACAGGCACCTCAGCGGAGTCCAGCTAGGATGCCCAGGATCCCAGATCTTCTGCCTGCATGGCCCTGGGCAAGACACTGCCTACCTGCTTCCCAGTTTCCTCTACCTTCAGGGATCCCAGGAATCATCTTATATGACAGTTATGGGTCAGGGCCAGGCCCAGGATCAACTGAGGCCAGAAAGTCATTTGCCCAAGTTCAGCTTAGCAAGGTTGATAAAGGAGGGGCACGGAGGAGGGCCAAGCTGGGGTCTCGATCTTGTATGGCCCTTTGAATGGGGGTGAGACTACTTCTTATATGGAAAATGGGATTCACACTCCAAGCCTCTCAAAGGCCGGGAAGGCAACGATGTTCTGTCCCAGGACCCTGGGCCCTTCCCTGGCTGGAGGGAAGCATTCTAAACAGAGTACTGATGGCTGCGAGGCCAGTTCCAGGTCAAGGTGGTCCCACTCAAGTCTCCCAAGGCTCAGAAGTCAGGCCACTTGTCCACAGTGCACAGAAGCAGAGGTGGTCAAATATGCTCACCCCTGCAGCAAGGTCCCCCTCAGCCCATGTCTCTATGTTGTCAACAAGGACAGCAAGTGCCGTGTGCTGGGTGGGTCCTCTGAACCAGGTCTTACTGGAGGCTGTGACCATGCAGTGACAGATCCAGCCTGTGTTCACATAGGGAACTGAGACTCATGGAGTAGAGGTGACATGTCTAAGGCTGCTGAGCAGGGATGGGGACACTGGCCTGCTGACTCCAGGAAAATATGGGGTTTTCAGCCCCTTGTGCGACCTCACCCAATGTGTCTATCCAAACGTGCTCTGAGCCACACTCGCTGAAGACTCCCATTTCCTAAGGCCCCAGGTGAAACAGACTGATAAGGTGAAGCCAGCTCCTCCCAAAGAAGCTGGCCAGGGGCCCAGTGGAGGACGTTGGAGCCGCTGGTAGGGCCTTCCCTCCAACCACACAGTGTTCTTCTCTAGTTTATTCAGGTGCAGTTCAAAAATATGAATAGGAAGCTGGAGCGCAGCGGGGAGGGGAGCCTGCCCACAGCAAGCAGCAGGGGGCCATGCAAGACAAAGGGAAGGGTTTACACAGGAGGTGACCTTGGACAGGGTCAGAGGCCAGAGGTGGAACACGGGGTGATGTGACAGGGGTCTCCCTGAAAAGGCAACATAGGAACTGAAACCTGGTGGCAGGTGGAGCCAGTCAAGGGAGAGCTGCAGGAGGTGGGCTCCAGGCACAGGGCACAGCCGTGCAGAGGCCGTGGACTGAGGCGGCCAGTGTGGCTGGCGCAGAGTGAGGCTGGCGCAGAGTGTGGCACAGGGTGAGGAGCTGTGGGAAGACAGAGCGGGCAGTGGGCCAGGCCTGGGTCAGGCTGGCCTGTGGGCCACCAAAGACTAGTTGGTTTTATGTGGGGGGCACCTGGAAGCCACAGGCAGATTGGGAGAAAGACTGGGGCATGACAGATGAACAGTGCGGAGGACTGTCCAAGGTCGCACACATGTTGTTCCAAAAGCCAAGCCAGGGTAGCCTAGGGCAGGCACAAGATCCTTCACACAGATCCTGGTGAGTCCCCTGAGGGAGGGGGGCAGGGCAGAGTGGCCCAGTCTGAGGCTCAGGTCTGCCCCTCTGGGCTGACTGGGGCTCTTCCATGCTGGGGGTGGGGATTTTGACACTACAAGGAGATGGAACCAGGGTGACTTCCCCCTCCCACCCTACCCCAGCTATTTACATTGACTGGTTTCCATGAAAACTAAGGTTCTTCTGGTCACGGACTGAGGGAATTCAGGCCTGCCCAGGCAGGGTAGGGGTGTGGCAAGGCTGCGGGTGGGCTGGGAGAGCTGGAGGGCCATGAGAGGTGGAGGGGGGAGGGAGGGAGGGAGGGAGGGGAGAGGCCTGGGCAGGAAGGGGGGTGGCACCCACTGGAGAGCCCCAGGTTGTTCTGACCTCCATTGAACTACTGGGGTGACCTCAGTGTGTCCTCTAAGCTGGCTTCAGAGCAGGAAAATTAGGGTCTACAATATTTTGGGGGATCCCAGAACACCTGGGATGAAGGATGAGCACTGGGGGCAACAATAATGTCCATCCTACAGATGGAAAACCGAGGGTCAGAGAGGAGAAACAGGCTGCCAGAGACACCCCACCAGCAAAGACCATGACACTGCCAGTCCTCCTGGAGTGACAGGGGTGAAGTTGGCAATGCCTGGGAGCAACCCCAAACATGCCCACCCTGAATCTGTAACAGGGGTTCCCTTGATGCTTTGACTATGTCCCTTGTGGCTTTGAAACTAATGTTTTTTTTTTTCTTTTTCCCAACCTTCTTTTCCCTAAACTTCTCCTCCCTGATCTTCTATTTCTCCTCCCTAATCTCATTTTCTCTGAATCACCTCTATAAAAACCCCTCTGTTCCTGCTGATGGGCAGAATCACAGCCTTTGGGACAGGAGTCCCCTGTGTTTCTCCTTTGTTGGCAAAGCAATAACCCTTTTTCCTTCTTCTCAAAACTGTGTCCTCGTTAATGGATTGGCACCGGGGACTCCAACACCCCTCAGAAGGGATCTATCACCTCCAATTCTCATTTCTTTTTTCTTTTTGTCAGTGCTAGGGTTAGAACCCAGGTTTTCTTTTATAAATACTATGCAAGGGCTCTAACAATGAGCTACATCCCCAATCTTTTTTTTTAACTTTGTTTATGTGGTGCTGAGGATGAAACCCAGTGTCTCACATGTGCCAGGCAAGTGCTCTACCACTGAGCCACAACCCCAGCCCCACTCCCAATCTTTTATAAATTTGGAGACATGGTCTAAGTTGTCCAGGCTGGCATCAAATCTGTGATCTTCCTGCCCTGGCCTCTATAGGTGCTAGGATTATAGGTGTGTACCACCATGCCACTCCTCATTTTAAGAGGATCAAAACTGAAGCTCAGCCAGGTGCAGTGGCACACACCTGAATCTCAGCAACTTGGGAGGCTGAGACAAGAGGATCACAAGTTCAAAGCCAGCCTTAGCAACTTAGTGAGAACCTAAGCAACTTAGCAAGACCCTGTCTCAAAATGAAAAATAAAAAGGGCTGGGAATATGGCTCAGTGATAAACTGCCCCTGGCTTCAATCCCCAGTACCCCTCCCCACTAAAAGAAACTCTGAAGCTCAGAGATGTCATGTCACTTGCTCAAGGCCACAGAGCTGAGGTTAGGGTAGGAAGGCGATCTCTGTAACCTCCCAGAAACAGTACATGCTCATAAATAGTGAACTTGATCATGGACTCAGGAACCTTCCTGATTCAGGACAACAGGTGACAATATATCATATATTCCAAGCTGCTCCCAAAACCTCGAGGCCTCTCCAAAGGACCTTCCCTCTCCAAGTTGTTGGGATCAGTGCTGCAGTCCCCATATTCAGCCGAGTTACAAAAGAGACCCCTCCAGTGGTCTTTTATTATCAGGCACCACAGCTGGCCAGACCCTCAAGACAGATGAGCCTTGACCCCCGCCCCTAGCCAGCAGAGGGAGGTGTCCAGGACCCACTAGACAGGTGAGAAGAAAGAGGAAGAGTTCTGAAGGAACTTATCAGAGCAGGTGTGAGAACAGTCCCAGAACTGTCTGAGACTGGCTCACAGCGCTAACTTCAGATAGGACAGTGGGCAGCAGAATGTGCCCTTTGCCCCCCGGAAATGCTGAGAAGGAACTTCTGATAGGCAAGGGCATGGGGGAGGGGCAGGACTGTGGCTGCTAGCTGGCCTGGGGACACAAGATCCCAGGAGCTTGCTTTCTGCCTGGTCCATGCTTCCTTAGCCCTGCAGCCTTTACCTGGCACCCGAGAGAGGACAGTGTTTGCCATAGGGGAACAGAATATGGGGGGCAGAGTGGTGGGACACAGATCTCCCCTCATTTCTGTGTCATTCGACTCACCCAAGGTCACAGCCTAGACTGAGCCTGGGTTCATGGTGCCAGGTTACCCTTCTGGCCTGTCCACAATTCTTTCAGCTCAACTCGGCAGCCCAGGTCCCGCAGGGCGGCCTTGGCCACGTCCTCACAGTCTCGGTGGGCCGCTCGGGCCTGTGAAATGAGTGCCTCAGCCCCCAAGTCCAGGATGGGCTTGGAGAAGTCTTGGCTGCGGGCTACCAGGTTTCGGATCAGCATGCAGGCCTGTTTCTGGAGGAGAGACACTATGAGTTTCTGGGAAAGATGGACACCTATTATATATGCTGTGTAAAGAGTTATTCTATTTTTTGAGGGGTACTAGGGATTGAACCCAGGGTGCTTTACCACTGAGCTATACCCAGCACTATCTAGTTCTCTAGCTATTTTGAAAAGGGGTCTCATGAAGTCGCTGAGGCTGGCCTCAAACTTGTAGTCCTCTTGCCTCAGCCTCCACAAGTCACTGAGATTATAGGTATGCACCACTGTACCCAGTCAGATGTGATTATTTAAAAACATATATTTTCAATCCTCAGTTAAATCCCTGAATATAAAAACCAGAGAAACAGGGCCAACTGTATATTGTTACTCATTTGGTGGGCATCTGTAGCCTGCATTTTCTGTGCTTAGGTGTGAGGGACTGCCCTAAAGCATCCCAGTGTGGTGGGGCTCCTGTCACTAACAGAAGAGCAGATGGGAAGCAGGGAGCAGGAGGGTCTGCCAGTCAGAGTGAGAAGGAGTAGACAAGGTGATGGGCCAACCCAGAGGATGGAGCCCCAGAGTGGGGATCAGTGAGAACAAAGTCCCCGTGGGACCCAGCCTGGTATGGTTTTTATTTTTTATTTTTTGGTATTGGGGACTGAACCCAGGAGCATTTACCACTGAACCACTTCCTCAGCCCTTTTTTAAATTTTGAGACAGGGTCTCACAAAGTTGCTTAGGGCCTCTCTAAGTTGCCTACTCTGGCCTTGAACTTATAGTCCTCCCGTCGCAGCCTCCCAAGTTGCTGGGGTTACAGGTATGCACCATGGCACCCCACCTAGCCTGGTGTGTTTAAGGCCCCTGTGCTGGGAAGAGGAGAAGTGGGGAGGGGCCCAGGACCACAGGGAGGCGTCTAGTTCAGGCAGGAGTGAAAATGATGGTGAGGTATAGGTGGTGGGTCCCACAGCCAGCAATAAGATTGGTAGTCCAAGGAGGGGCTGGTAGCCTCCCAAAATCCCAGGCAGAGTCCCCTTTGTGCTACCCCCCTTCTCCTCCCCAGGTCTCCCTAAGAGATTTTCAAGAAAGTAGAAGAGTAAATGTACAAAGAGCAAAGGGAAGCTAGACTTGATGGCACATGGCTGTAATCCCAGCTACTCAGGAGGCTGAGGCAGGAGGAACCTAAGTTTGAGGCCAGCCTGGGCAACTTAGCAAGACTCTGTCTCAAGAAATAAAAAAGGCTGAGGATGTAAATCAGTGGCAGAGCATTTTTGTAGCATGATTAAGGCTCGGGGTTCCACCCACAGTACAAAAAAAAAAAAAAAGAACAAATGAACAAACAAATGGTTAGGAGAAAAGATGCCCCTGGAAGAGTTCAGCATTGGTTAGAAGATGGAAAGGAAGGGTTGGGTGCGTGGCGTGCACCTGTAATCCCAGTGGCTTAGGAGGCTGAGACAGGAGGATCATTAGTTCCATGCCAGCCTCAACAACTTAGTAAGACACATCCAAAAGGGCTGGGGATGTGCCTCAGTAGGTGAGTGCCCCTGAGTTCAATCCTCAGTTCCCCCCCCCAAAGAAAAGATAGAAAGGAAGAGGCCTTGAGGGTTCAGGCTGTGGTGGAGACATGGGCAGGGAGAATCTGCTCTCACCTGTATGTTGGCCTCGTGCCCCACACCACTGCCTGCCCACCAGCTTCCTGTCCCCCCAACACAGTCCACCTCCACACAGATCTCCTGCCTCTGCCCCCATACCACTGCAAGTCAGCCTCCTGCTTGCCCCTCACATGCCCCCACCTTCCTTCCTCAACCACCCCCCACCCAATCCACCCCTGTCACCTGCACGCCAGCCTCCTGTGGGTGTGCCTTCATGGCCTGCAATGCGGCCAGGGCCCCGCCCTCCTCCATGATGACCCGGCTATTCTCTGGCTTTCGCAGGGCCAGGACACACAGGGCCGCACAGCTCTGCTCACATACCTGTGGGATCAGTCATGGGTGAGAGGCAGCAGAGACAAGGCAGATGGACTCCCTCCTTCCCCCAGCCCTCATGGTCACCACCACCAGTGAGGGCACTGGCCCTGGCTGGATCTCAGGTAGCCTGGTGCTCACCCAGGACACTCAGGCCAGTATCTGAGACAGAGTCCAGGCCCCTTGCTCACCTCCCCTGGCCATGGCCCTGCTGAGAAGTGAGGAAGAGCAGAGCTCCAGGTGGACATGGAAACAGCAGGCCTCCAGCCGCCAACCCCACCCCACGTGCCCCTGAGGTGGATACCTGGGGGTTGGCCAGGTGCTGGGTCATGGCGGCCACAATGGACTCTGTCCCACCGGCTCGGACAATGGCATCCTTCACATCATCGTTGCCTGCGATGGCCCGCAGGGCGCTCAGCACTTGCTTGACAAGGTCCTGCACAGAAGGCAAGGCCTGGATGCACCCAGCCAGGTCCTCCTCCTGAGCTGGGCCAGGCGTGAGCCTCTGGGTTGCTAGACTGTGGGAGGGGTCTTGAGGAAGGGCCTGGGGCTGTTGGTCTGTTTCAATGACGGGTGTAGCTGTCCTGGGGAATGTGGGTAGCCTTAATGGCACAGAGAAGGGAAGGGAGGCTTCTAGAGGCAGACACCTGGGCTTAGGCCACTTGGGTCCAGGCAGGACATCTGGCTTACTTGATCACCCCTCCCTTCTAGGGATAGTGAACATGTGACTTGGGCCCTGGGTTCCATCCTCAGCACTATTAAAAAAAAATAATAATAATAATAACTGGGACTGCCAACTTCTGGGACAGAGTTGAGAGGAGAAAACCGAGGCCCCATCCTGGGACTGTCAAGTAAAATGCCTTCCCTCCTTTGCTGGGGCCAGTTCTAACTGGGCTCTTTGCCACTGCACAGAACAAGTCTGGCTGTCACAGCCAGGTGCCCCAGGGGCTTTTCTGTCAGCCTGCCTTGGACAGACGCATGCTGGCTGCATCCTGGGCCAAGCACAGGGAGAGAGGCTGATAAGCAGCTGCTAAATGATGGAGCGATGGTAGAGGACTCCCCTCCTGTCCCACGGAAGGAAACAGAGGCAAGCACCACATGCCATGACCGGGCCCTGCCCTGGTGAGCAGATTCCCCCATCCTCTTCCTCCCATTCCTTCCAGAACATAAAATGGTGCAAAAGGACAGCGAGGTAATCTCAGTAACTTGGGAGGCTAAGGCAGGAGAATCACAAGCCCGATGCCAGCCAGGGCAACTTAGTGAGACCCTGTCTTAAAATAAAAAATAAACACGGGCTGGGGGTGTGGCTCAGTGGTAGTGCATTTGCCTAGCATGTGTGAGGCCGTGGGTTCCATTCCCAGTACTGCCAATAAAAAAAGGCGGGGGCGCAGGTTTGTTTTGCTCTGCAACTTTAGTTCCTATACTTGGGTTAGTAAAAAGAAAACTGTACCATGGTTCCCGGGTTGGCAGATAGCACCAACTTATTCTGACGGTGGCCTATCCTGCTGGCTGGGACTCAGAGGGGCAGGAGCCTTCGTTGCAGGAAACAATAAATCAAACCCCAGCCAGGGGCCGTGCACCCTCAAGGTTCTAGGCTCCTACCTGGTGGTTATTACAGTTGGCTAGCAGGGTCACCAGGATGCCGAGGCCCCCAAGGTCAACTATTTCCTGACAGAACTCATTACGGACAGCCAGGCGAGACAGGGTGCTGAAGAGCTCACTCAGGACACTGGGATTGTCGGAAAAGCCTGGAGGGAGACAAAAAATGCACTATTGGCTTTGGGAGAGACCCTAGGAAGAGGGAAAGGGACCTTGGCTTGGTGAGGTCCTTATCCACTAGTGGAACCCAGTCCCTCTGCCTCAGAGGATAGCTGCCTGCACCAGAAAGGCCCCAGGAGTAGACAGGAGGGGCATCTCAGGCTGGCGCTGCCCCCTGCTGGTCGCTGATGGAGGAGAGGGGAGAGCGCCCCTCCTCCACCCTTCCACCCCGGTGCTCTAAATAAATTCCAGACCAACTGATGGTCTCAACTAAAAAAAGAAAACCATAATAGCACCAAAATAAAACATCCGAGACTATTTTTATGATCCTGGGGTGGGAATGACAGAATAAGTGCAACAGAAAACCACAGAGGGACACACAGACTGAGCTGACGGGCAAAACACTAGTGTCCCAGACGAAGTTTGAGGTTCAACATGGGGAGCAGATGCCTGCCCTGGCGCCCACAGTGCAAATGATTCTCATTTTTCCTCCTGCAGCACTGGGGACTAAACCAGGGCACTCTATCATCGAGCTACATTCCCCAGCCCTTCTTTTTTATTTGAGAGAGGGTTTCCCGAAGTTGCTCAAACTGGCCTCAAACCTGCAATCCTGCTAGGATAACAGGCAGGTGCCAGCAAGCTCAGCAAATATTTATTTATTTTCTTATTTAAAAAAAATTCATTCTACTTAGTGACACATGACAGTAGAATGTATCTTGACATATCATACATAGATGGAGTGTAACTTCCCATTCTTGTGGTTGTACGTGATGTGGAGTTACACTGGTCGTGTATTCATATGTGAACATAGAACAGTTATGTTCAATTCATTCTACTGTCTTTCCCATCTGGCAAATATTTATAACTGATACAGAGGAGCTGGGCATGGTGGTATACACCTGTCACTCCAGTGACTCGGGAGGTTGAGGCAAGAGGATCTTATGTTCAAAGCCAGCCTTAGCAACTTAGCAAGGCTCTAAGCAACTTAGCAAGACCCTGTCTTAAAATAAAAAATAAAAAACAGGTTTGGGATGTGGCTTGGTGGTCACATACCCCTGGGTTCAATTCCCAGTACCACACACAAAAGAATAATAATAACTGATACAGAGCTCTGGGATGGCCAGTGCATGTGTCTACTGGGTCTGGGTCCCAGAGATCCCTCCAAGGCTGATGTGGAGGTATTCTGTGGATGTGGTCACCAGCCACAACCAATTGCTGTTAAGTAAGGATCTGAGATGACCCTAGACCATGTGGATGGGCCTCATCCAATCAAGAGAAGGCTTTAAGAGGGAAACCGGATTATCTGAGGAGAAAGACATGGCCCTGGGGCTGCCTGGCAGTCTCTACCCTGTCCTAAGAATTGCAGCTCACAATACATGAGCCCCTTTTTTTTTTTTTTACACAAAGTAACTTCAGAGATTGGGGGTGCAGCTCAGTGGTAGAGCATGTGCTCAGCATGTGTGAGGCCCTGGTTCCATCCCCAGCACCAAAAATAGAAAAGCTTCATATATACATATGCTACATGTCCTTCTCTCTGGTGCCAGGCTAATTCAAGCTCCCATAAACAGACAGGAAAGATGAAACCTACCCAGAAAAGCAGCTCAATATGTAGTCAGCTTCTCTGGAGGTGTGCAGGGGACTGAAGCAGGCCTGGCTCCCTGGCAGACAGGCTTGGCTGCAGAGCCAGAGATACAGGGCAGCAGGAGAGGAGAACTCATTCTTCCAGCACCTCCTGTGTGCTGGACCTCTGTCAGGCCTTTGCTGGTAGGTGTGGTGGACATGGTGGAGGACAGAGGCTTTAGGGTCCAAAAGTCAGGGTATGGCTTCCTATGGCCAGCTCCCTGGTCACCCTGCACAATAATCTACAGCCAAATATGAACAAGAAAATGTCAACTTTCATCTTGGACTGACTCGGGAAGGCCGGCAAGACTCCCCGACTCCTGCTCTTTAGGGAATTCCTCTTCCTCATCTTCTTCCATGTGGCTGGGCTCAGTGGGCCACCTCCATAAACATTTCCAGGGATGGGCAACAGACCCACTCCTGGCCAATGAATGCTTGCCTGGAACTCTTCAGGAGCCACCAGGAAGCATAAATCCACTTCTATTACTAGGGTAGCCATGTGAGTGGGACTAGGCCAATAGGGAAGAGGAGCCCGGACCTAGCCATACCTGAAGCAGTCTGAAACCCTGATTCTTTCTCTTTCTTTCTTTGTTTCTTTTTGTTAGTTTGGTGCAGGGACTGAATCCAGGCTCTTGCTCATGCTGAGCACAACTCACCCTGGCCACAGCCTGCCTGCTGCTGCACTGTCACTGATCACATCAGCTGGGGCTCCTACCTTTGGCAGCCTCAATGAGCACCTTCAAGCCTCTGTTTTCCTGCACGATCATCTTGGCATGGTTGTGGGCGTTGCTGTAGGGCACACGAATGTCATCATCAAAGGTCATGATGCGGAGGGCCCAGCATGCCTCCCTCACCACCTCAGCATGCTGGCCATGCTGGGCAATGGCACTGGTCAACAGGGGTAGCACACCAGCCTTCACCAGGCCCTGCCGATTCTGCTCATGCTTTAGAGAGGCATGTCGCACACAGCGGATCCCAGAGCAGGTCAGGTTGGCTTCATTAGCACTCTGGGCCAGTGTGTCCACCAGCAGCTGTAGGCCTTGGGCATCTAGAAGGTCAGGCTGGCCATCAGTCAGCATTGACAGGGCGTTGAGGGCCTGGAGCAGAAGGTTCTGGTCTCCTGCAGCAGCCAGCTTCCAGGCAGCCAGGATAACGGGGTAGGCTCCTTTCTGGGCCGCCAGGAAGCGGCAGGCTTTGTGCTGTTTGCACTGGTCACAGAAGCGGGTAAGGTGGGTGGACACCTCTTCGGGGCTAGAGGAGGCCACAGATTTCTGCAGGTCACCCAGGGCCTGGGAGATAAAGAAGAAACTAGTGTCAGCTCAGCCCAGAGATGGGAACCCAGGGCCATGGTGACAGTGTCTGCATCCCTGCAGGGTCCCCTCCTCCAGGATCTGGGTGGAAGATGGAAATAATGTAGGGTCAAAATTTGCCATCTTCCCTCCTCAGACTTCTGCATGGGGGACCACAAGCACGGGGCCACCACCCCTGGCCATACTTATACTTTTTAGTGAGAAGGAAGGCCTCAGCTGTCTCAGGGTCCCTGCTAAGGAACTGCACACCTGTGTGTGGACATATTAAACATCCCACTCCTAGTTGACTTGGAGAAGCCGTAAGTGAACCCAGAAGTGAGGCCAGCCAAACAAAACTGACACAACTGCCATCGTCCACCCTTAGAGGGAAAAAGAAGAAAGTCACCTTCATCAGATCTGCCCATCAAGATGTCTCTTTGCTGTACCTCTCATTCACTCCCCAAATATTTACAGAGTACTTGCCAAATATACACGGTTGATTTACCCAAATATAGCTCTAAGTCATGTGGGAAACATGATGAAAGAAAACAATTTGAACAGGGCAGATCAGTCTCGCTGCCATTCAGCAATACAATCTCAGGACATGCCTCAGCATGAGCTCAAGAGGAATCTGTGTGCTTAGAGCTGATGAGATCACTGGCACCAGCTCAGGCAAGGGCAACTGGACAGAAACCATCAGCTCAAAGGGCTTTGATTTGATCTTAACACTCATAAAGGTCAAAGATACCTATGAGCCGGCCCTCCCTAACTGTGAACCTAAATTGAGGATATGCTACCACACAAGAGAATACTTAAAAAAATGAGTCTGGGGGCTGGAGTTGGGGTTCAGTGGTAAAGTGCTCGCCTAGAACGTGCAAGGTTCAATCCTCAGCATCACATAAATGTAAAAAAAAAGATATTGTGCCCACCTAAAACCGAAAAATAAATATTAAAAAAAAATGAGTCTGGGAACCTGGGTGTGGTGGTACGTGCCTGTAATCACAGCAACTTGGGAGGCAGAGGCAGGAGGATCGCAAGTTTGAGGCCAGCCTCAGCAACTCAGTGAGACCCTCAGTGACTTAGTGAGATCTTGTCTCAGAACAAAAAAATTAAAAAGGGCTGGGGATGTAGCTTGGTGGTAAGGCACCAGAGTTCAACCCCCAGTACAAAAAAAAAAAAAGTTAGGAGCTGATGGTATAGCTCAGTGGTAGAGCTTTTGCCTACTCTAAGGTTCTGGGTGCCATTCCCAGCATTGCAAAAAAATAAAAATTGGGCTGGGGATGTGGCTCAGGCAGTAACACGTTCGCCTGGCATGCGCGGGGCGCTGGGTTTGATCCTCAGCACCACATAAAAATAAAATAAAGACGTTGTGTCCACTGAAAACTGAAAAATAAATATTAAAAAGTTCTCTCTCTCTCTCTCTCTCTTTAAAAAAAAAGAATTTTTAAAATTTTTTATTTATTTATTTATTTTTTTTTTAGTATTTGGCGGACACAACATCTTTGTTTGTATGTGGTGTTGAGGATCGAACCCGGGCCACACGCATGCCAGGCAAGCGCGCTACTGCTTGAGCCACATCCCCAGCCCTAAAAAAAAAGAATTAAAAAATAAATAAAAATAATAAAAATAAGGGGCTGTGGATATACCTCAGTTGGTAGACTGCTAGCCTCGCATACACAAGGCCCTGGGTTGAATCCCCAGCACCACAAATAAAAAATAAATAAAATTCAACCTTACTAGCAAAGGAGGAGAGTGGTGGGGACAACAAGGAGCCATTTTCACAAGACCTCTGCAAGGTCGGAGCCAGAAGGATCCTATATAAGGACACATTGCCCTTATGCAGAGTTGGGTTTGCATCCAAGGTGTCTCCTCCAACTTCGTCTTTTTTTTGGATACATGGTCTCACCATGTTGCCTAGACTAGCCTTGAATTTGCAATCCTCCTGCCTCAGCCTCCTGAGTCACTGGGATTACAGGCCTATGCCACCATGCCCAGCTTCAACAAGTGAGTTTAAATGTTTAATAGACTGGCTGTAAAGTGCTAATAAATGGTTGGTGTTCAATAAAGACTGCCTTACATCCTCCTCTTGCAATTTTCTCTCTCTCTGGGAGGCCAGAAATGCTGTCCTATGCCACCCTCAACCCCAGGCTCCTTGAACCAGGGACAACCAAGAGCATGCTGTGGATTCTGACCTCAGATCATGGGCTCCATGTGGAGCTCAGCAGCCCCCCAAAGGCTGTGCTGCCCTCAGACTGGGACTCAGGGAGAGATGTGGCTGCAAACTCAAGCTGGCCTAGGCACACCAGGTAGGTCACTGACCTTCAGAGCCTGCCTTCTGCCATGAGGAAAGGGAAGAGCTATCCACCAAGATTATTCCAAAGTGATGAGGGACCTCTCACATGGGCTCCATGCTCCTACCTGTAAGATATCATGTGTGGGCTCCTGGGGTCCATCTGCAGAGACTTTAGGCACACTCTTTACAATGTTGCTCAGATCAACGCCTGTAAAGAGGAAGATAGGAACACTGAAAAAAAGAAGTGACAACTGTCATCCTCTGGCCTATCAGTGGAAGTCACACCTCATGTCCCTTCTGCTGAGATACCCCCTTCAGGAGGTCTTTCAGGGGTCTTCCCAGTGCTTCTTTCTGCCTGACTCCTCCCCAGGTCAGCCAAAGGGAGCAGAGTGGTAGCCAGGCCATGGCCAAGTGGGGCCGCATCACTACTGCCATCTCTGTGCAGTGAGATGGCACTTCCTGCCTGGGAGAGGACAGGGGATCCCTCAGCCATTTCTCTCAGAGATCCCATTCTCCCTGGCCTTGTGCTGCCCCTACAGGAAGCACTCACTGGGTCAGACACTTCCAATCACCCTGCCAGCTCCTGGCCATTGTGTATACTTTACTCTGTGTCCAAGAGGCTGACCTATGAGACTGGACCCCAGATCCCTTGCCCACTGGCTTTTGGTTGGGGGTAGTGGGGATTGAGCCCAGAGCCATGCTCAGTGCCATCTGGCTCTTCAATGAGCCTGTCCAATGGGAGCTAGAGTCAAGACTGGGGGCAGGAGGAGGGGAATGGTCAGTGGTGTTCATTTCTAGCAATCTGCCCTGCCTCTACCCAAAGACCTGATGCTTATCAGAAGACTCCTGCCCAGAGCCCCTACTCCCTGCTGTGACCATCAAGGGTCCTGCCCTGGCTGTCAGGGGCTCTAAACCCTGCCTACACCATTACAAATGGTCCCTTAATAACTACTCTCCTCTAAGGCTTGGTTTGGGCACACTATTTCCACGGCTGATGACTGCCATCACCTTCTTCCACTCTGAGCCCAAGTGGGGGTGCAGTGGGGCAGGTAGCCCTGCTTACCAGGGCCAGGTTAGGGAAAGCCATTTCAGGGAAGTGACAGTGAAAATGAGATCCACAGGGGCTGGGGATGTGGCTCAAGCGGTAGCGCGCTCGCCTGGCATGCGTGCGGCCTGGGTTTGATTCTCAGCACCACATACAAACAAAGATGTTGTGTCCGCCGAAAACTAAAAAATAAATATTAAAAATTCTCTCTCTCTCTCTCTCCCTCTTTAAAAAAAAAAAAAAAAAAAAGAAAATGAGATCCACAAAGAGGATCCAGCCTCATAAATGACTCAGTGAGATGGAAGAAAAGAGAGGGTAGGCATGATCACGGCCGGACCAGAGGGCCTGGCCTAACTGGGGCACCAGTTTCTCTGCCAGGCATGATGGGGTTATGGCAGTCCAGGCGGGATCCCAACACTCTTGTGTCTAAGAGCCGTGGACCAAGCCATAATGCCCTAACCTTGTGATTCAAACTGCTCCATGGCCTCCTTCACTGCTTCCTCTGGCCCCATCTCAAACTCCTCGATGTTTTCCTGCACAGCTGCATCAAAGGTCTCCTGGGTGATGCGCTTGGAGGTCATCTCTGTGTGCTGAGCAAAGTCAAGAGGAAAGCTTGTCAAGAGAGAGCAGGCAAAACACCACTTTGGGGGAGCACCTAGCCTCGGGATCAACCCTAGAAAAATTCTTATCACTAGATCATGGGTAAAGGGAACAACACAATTTCCAAAGAGCTTTGAAAAACGCAAAAGAGAGCAGGGCACAGTGGCCCACATGTGTCATTCCAGCTACTAAGGAGGCTGAGGCAGGAGGATTGCAACTTCAAGGCCAGCCTCAGAAACTAGTGAAGCCCTATCTTACATTAAAATTTTTAAAAAGGCTGTGGATATAGCTCAGAAGTAGAGAGCCCCTGAGTTAAAGCCTTAATGCCATTCAAAAAATAAATATATATATGAACATACACACACACACACACATACACACATATATGTATAAAATGTCGTTCTAATACTAAATACGTAGTAATCATACTTTATTATACTTACACACATAATCTTATATATAATTATGCAATAAGATACCATTATATTACAGTGTACCATTATATTACAGGTTGACTATCCCTTATCTGAAATACTTGGGACCTAAGTAGTACATAATTTGGGGGATTTTAGAATATTTGCATATAAATTATGAGCTATCTTGGGGATGAGATCCAAATTCAAACAGAAAATTCTTTATACATCATATATACCTTACACACATGGTCACAGCCTGCAGGTAATTTTATACAATATTTTTAGTGTGTCCGTTTTGACTGCAACCCATTATATGAGATCAGGTGTGGAATTTTCCAGTGTGGCCATGACAGAGCTGAAAGTTTAAAAATTTGGAAAATTTCAGAACACAGATTAGGGATGCTCAACCTGTTATATAAAATTTAGAAATAACAATTAATAGTAATAACTAATAAGAAGGAGGGCTAAAGAAGAAACTAATAAAAATAGTTACCTGGTAGGGAAGGGAAAGGGACAGAAGCTGGATTATTCACTCTGAGTGTATCTTCTGGAATGGGATGAATTTGGAAGCCATATAAATCCTTTATATGACTAGAAAATGAAATAAACCAAAATAAAAATAAAAGCAATCCCTAAAAACCAAGAATGAAATTATGCCAACTAATCTGGGCTGGGGATGAGGCTTAGTGGTAGAGTTCTTGCCAATAATATGCAATAATATTGCAGGCCCAGCACTGCAAAAAACAAAAAAACCTCAATGAGCCAGATATGGTACGGGCATACCTGGCACCCCAACTCTCAGGATCCTGCTAAAGCAGGAGGATCTAGGCCAGCCTGGGCAACTTAGTGAGACCCGGTTTCAAAATAAAATAAAAAGAACTGTGGTTGAAGCTTGGTGGTAGAGTTCTTGCCTAGCATACTAGACTCTGGGTTCCAGTCCCAGTACTGCAAACAAAGGAAAAAAGATTGTAAGATCATAGGATGAAATAAGTAAAACCTCATAACTCCATCTAATTAACAATACTGTATATTGCATACTTGAAATTTGCTAGGAGTCGAGGGTTTTATGCTGTTGTTTGCTTTTGTTTTTCCTCTGGCAGTACTACAGATGGAACCCAGTGCTTCACACAGGGCAGATCTTAAGAGTTCTGACCCCATCATACACAAAAGATCTTTTTTTAAAACTTCTTTTTATTTAAAAAAATTTTTTCTATTGTAGATGGACACAATACCTTTATTTTTTATTTATTTTGTATGTAGTGCTGAGGCTCGAACCCAGTGCCTCACACATGCTAGGCAAGCACTCTACCACTGAGCCACAACCCCAGCCCCACAAAAGATCTTTATGTTAATTAGCATGACTGTGATGAATATTTCACAATGTATACATACGTAATTTTGACGATGTACAACAAATATACACAATATACTTATATATAACACAACGTATATCTCTATACTGAACCTCTATAAAGTTGGGGGAGGATCTCAGATCTCTTCCCCTTGTTTTGTATGTGGTACTGGGTATTAAACCCAGGAATGGCACATGTGAGGCAAGCCCTCTACCACTGAGCTATATATCCAGCCCTCTTCTAAATTTTATTTTGAAACAGAGTTTGGTTCTGTTGCTCAGGTTGGCCTGGAACTTGCAATACTCCTGCCTTTAGCTTCTTGAGTACCTGGGATGACAGGTATGCACTACTGTGCTTGGCTCAGAGCTCCTAAATTTGAACTGAAATTTCAATATGAACTCTTGATATATTTTCTTTTAAGCAAACAAACCTCTAATGTTCTAATGATAAGAACAGAAAATGCCTAAAGGAAATGATATCATAGTAGCATTGAGCATCCTTAACACCATCTATGGTCTCTAAATACCATTTCCCATAGAATAGAATCCGGGGCCCCTGGAAGAATGGCTAATTCCATGTTTTGGCAGGACATAGATCTTAGGAGCTAGGGCATCTGGTAAGATCAGAAAGCAAGGAAGGAAGCAAATCCTAAGAGGCACCTATTAGCTAAAGATGAGACAAGCAAGCTCTTAAAAAAAAAAAAAAATCCAGGGTTGGTAGTGTTGCTCAATGGTATAGTACGGGCACGCACAAGGCCCCAGGTCAGATCCCCAAAAAATAAACAAATAAAAGGATCCAGCGTTTATCCTGCCTGTCTTATACAAGGGGGTCCCAGGTTAAAAAGGAAGGATGAGGAAAAGTTCTGCTTCCGATCCCAGCTGATCAGCCAAGCCAGGATAAATCTAGAGAATGCTCCCAACAGGCTGGCAAAACCATCAGGTACAAAACCAGTGAGGATGGACCCTGACAAGGGCTGGACAGGAAGTGAGTCTATGACTTGATCTCACGTCCTCAAAAGAAAAAACAACATCTGTTTCCTGGCAAAGAGCAAAATTCACCTATGAAATCATTGGTCCCAAACGTCAATCTAACTATCTGTCCAGTGGAACTTTGTGTAATGATGGAATATTCTATATTTGTGTGGTCCAGTAAGGTAGCCACCAACCCCAGGTTTGGGAGTGGGTGGTGCTATGGAGCAGTTAGTAGTGTGGCTGAGGAACTGTATGTAATGTCAATTCATTTTAATAAAAATAGGGAGGGGCAGAGAGATAGCTCAGTAGTAGAGAATTTTCCTAGAGTGCCTGAGGCCCACACTAGCAATTCCCTTTGCAATGCTTGGTGGCAGGCACACCTGGCTTCCACAATGACAATGATGTCTTCACAGGCACAACTGGGTCATTAACTCCTGCCATAATCCCTTTGTAATTAAGTAATTAAGGGAGGACAGGTCTCAGTTCCAGAACCTTAACAGAGTTTAATAACTTTCTTCATTTTAATTGTTTTAATTTATCTGCCTTGTTTATTATAATAATACTGTTTCCATTCTCAAACTGGTATCAAGTTTCCATTTAAAATAGATCTCTTTTTAAACCTACAGTAAAGTTGCAAGGAACACCTTATATCCTTCACCTAGCTTCATCAATTGTTAACCTGTGAGTGTGTGTGTGCATGTGCACACAGCTACTATCTGAACATGTTCCAAACATCAGGACCTCTTTCCTTCTAAAGACCAGTATGACCTCCCCAGTACAGACCTCTTATGCAATTACAGCATATATGAATTTAACATGGGAAATCGAACATTGATAAAATACATGTGCACGCAAGCGATGGGGATGGAACCCTCATGAGTGGTCTATCTCCTTCCTGCCACACCCTCTCCCTCTACTCTCCACACAGAATCCAGAGAGGACCTTCAAAGCACACAAATATTACCTCATTCATTTGCTCAAAACCCTGCAATGGCTTCCCATGCCACTTAGAAAAAAAACCCAGTCTCCTTAGGCGCACTTTCTTTATGCATACTTTTCCAAACTGCTTTCTGTGCCTGATTTTCATCCTTCCAGCTACCTAGGGACACACTTCAAACCCACTCCGGGTAAAACAGCCCCCCTCTCCTATCCCATTATTCTCTTTTATTATTTGCATAGCATTACTTATATCTAGAGCGACAAGGTTCATTTATTTATTTGCTTATACCTTCTAGTCTCCTTGCCCCTACTGCCTAAGACGGAGCCGGACACGTTGCTGGCACTCAGTACGTAGGTGTTGAATGAATTAAAAAAAAAAAAAATGCAAAGAAAGCAGACGCCAGGAAGGCAGATTCGGTCCCCTAGAGGCTTCAGTAAGATTCCTTCCTTCCCCAAAATCAAATTCTGAGGGCTTTGCAGCAGTCACCAGCCCGACCTCACAGCATCCACTCCCTCCCTAGTCCGCGCGCAACAGGGTTCTTGGCCGCTGCTCACCCGGTCTTCGAAGCCACGTGGGGCAAGGGTGGGGCTCGCAGCTGTCACGGAAGGCACCAACTCTGGCCCGTTCCGGCCGCCGTACGAGCGCAGGCGCAGTGGCGCCGCCTCACCTAGGCCGTCTTTAGTTTGGCAGATAGCTCCCGGAGTAACTAAGGATGGCCACGATTGCAGGTAAAGTAAAAAGGACCACCTGGTGCGTGTCGGCACAGTATCTGTCGACTTGTCCGGAACGCTCAACGTAGTCGCCACCCCCACCAGGCTCTAAAAAAAGCGAGCACCGCGCCTGCGCAGAAAGGCTCGCCAGCGGTGGCCTGCGCCTGCGCTCAAGGACTCGACAGCACCCTGCGCCTGCGCGGCGCGGCGCTGCGGAGACCGTTGGCTCATTTGCATGTCCCCGCCTCGCGCGGCGGCGGGTGAGGAGCCTGAGGCGGCGGCGGGGGCGGCTCCGCGCGCAGTGGGCTCGGGGTGAGGCCCGGGCCCCGGCGTCGTCGGTGGGTGGGCCCCGGGGTGGGGGGGCTCGGACTTGGTCCGGGTGGCCCCGGACTACATGATGGCGCCGAGGGCTTGGCCCTCGGGCTTCGTCCGCGGCCCGGTCCTGAGGGGCGGTCGGTGGCCTCCGGGAACCGACTCCCCCTTTTCGTCGTCCTCGGAGGCTGGGCAGAGGCGGGCCGTGCTGGAAGGGTTCACTGGGTCACTTGTTCATTCATTCCACCCGAGCCCGGAGCAGCACCGGCTCGCGGGGCGATAACGGCCACCGGTGCTGCGTTCGGCCCTTTACCTCTTTTAAACTGGTTCAGTCCCCATAGCAACCCCAATATTAGCTGCTCATTCCATAGATGGGAAACCAAGGCGTAGAAAGGTTAGGACACTTGTTTAAACCCAGGCCACCTGACCCGGAGACCCGGCCCTTCGCTATTCAGAGAACAAGGGACACCGGGAAGGGAGTCAAAGGATGGGAACATGGGGTGATGGTTGTGAAAAAACAACTGTAAGGCAGGTGTGCGTCTTGAAGTTGGAGGTGTCTTTGGGCCAGGACATCTTGATGATTAAGGACGTTGAACTCCTAAATGTTGCTTAATTTTTTTCCTACTCCTTCTAAAGGGCTTTGTTTCCACTAATGCTCTAAACAGCAGGTTCAAGTCTGGGCTGTCTGACCTTGGGTGGGTCACTTAGCCTAGGTCTGCCTTTTCCTCTTCTATGTAATATCATTCATAAAAGGACCCACCTTGTCGGTAGGCTATTGCAAGAAGCAAAAGAGATCGTGCTGGTACCTAGTACACAGCAGCCTCTGTCACTAGCTCATTGTCATTTGGTAGAGATTCTTCCACGCACTTGTCCAGAGGCTTCTCTCAGATAGAGTAAGCTCTGGATGCCTCTTGGTGAAATGGAAAAATAGTGGTCACATCTTTCCTACATTTGTGAGGGTTGTGTTCCTGTTCTTCTGACCACGTTATATTCTTTTGTGTGTTGGGTTGTGCTATCCTCTAGCAACCCCAAGAAATAGGATTGCTCTGTGTGCCTCTTGTAACCCATTGCAAGGAAACGGGCTCAGACAAGGCTCTTCTTGCTCCTTTTCCTGACACACATGTGAGCCTCACCTGGAGAGAGATCCCCTTAAAAGACTCCAGCCTGCCTTTTGAAGTACCATGGCAGGATTATGGATTACTACGAGATTTTTTTTTCCTTTTGATTTTTTGTTTTGAAACTGAGTATCCCTTAAGTTGCTGAGTTTGGCCTTGAACTTGTGATCCTCCTATCTCAACCTCTCAAGTCACTGGGATTACAGGCATGGACCATTGTGCCCAGCACTGCCTGGTGACTAAGGATTGGGTAAAATAGAGTAGGCTCTGTGAGAGAGTTGTTATTCTTAATATGTCTTTTTCTTTCACTATAGGGCAAGGAAATATGGCAGCAAGGAGAATTGCACAAGAGACTTTTGATGCTGTATTACAAGAAAAAGCTAAACGATATCATGTGGACCCCACTGCTGAGACTGTAGGAGAAACTCTTCAGTTTAAAGCTCAAGGTAAGTTTTTTTTTTTTTTTTTGAGAGGGAGTGTAGTATCTAGAGTCTGGGGCAGGATTTCAGTGTCTTAGACAAGTTCAGAATTGCTCTGATCCTTGCTCTCCTTATTTAAGAGAAAATAATATTTTCACATTGCCCACTGGGCAGCCAAATCATTATGCAGAAGGTGGTGTTGTCATTAACTGGAGCTTCTTATTAGATACTATCTTTTGAAGAACATAATTTTGGTGCTGTGAATGGTATTCAGGGCCTTACTCATGCTAAGCAAATGCTTTCATTGATCTATGTCTCCAACCCCTAAAGAAGGATTTGGGAGGTGGGGTACTGGGGTGCATAACCACTGAGCCACATTCCTAGCCCTTTTTATTTTTCATTTTGAGACTGGGCCTTACTAAGTTGCTTAGGGCCTCATCCTCTGGAGCTGCTGATATTACAGGCTTGTATTGCCACGCCCAGCAAGGATTCTTGAATCAATCTAGTAGCATCCCCTGCCATTCCTGCTCAGGTTTAAGCTCTTAGCAGTTCTTGCTTACATTATTGCAATGTCCTGCAGGGTCTGTCTGCTTCTGACTTCATTTCCTTCATATCAGCCCTTAAAATAGTTGCCCCTCAGATCTATTAGTGCCAACCTCCTTAGGCCACCGTCCTGTTTAGGCTCTTGGGGCTCCCCAATTGCAGTATTATATCTTCTTCAAGTGCAGGAATAGCCACTTAACATCTGCAGAGAGGGTCTCTAGCTGCCAGGTGTTGGTTCTGCTTGAAAACATTTCCTTTGAATTCCTTTATCTCAGATCTGCCTGGTTAATTCTCTCAGCCTTCCCCTAGGAAGCCTAAGCAGGCCTTGAGGTTGATTTTGTTACCATCCCTACTCCAGGATGTACATGCCCTGGGCCTATTTCCCCTGGGCTACTCACAGTTATATCATCCTTAGGGTGAAGAAAAGGCCCCTCCTATTGTTTAAGTCTAAGTCTTTGGGATAGGAATAACAAATGTGCTTTGGACTGGAGAATTGAAGCTCAGAGGTTATCTCTAGGTTCTGAGATTTCAGAATTTACAGGGATGTTTGATGGAGTACCAGCTCAGTGGTAGAGCACTTGCTTAGCACATGTGAGGCATGGCTTTAATCTTCAGCACCATGTAAAAACAAATTAATAAAGGCACTGTGTCCGTCTACAACTAAAAAAAAAAATTTTAAATAAAAATTTACAGGGACACGGTTGAGGATGTGGCTCAGTGGTAGAGTGTGTTCTTTTTTTTTTTAAAGATGGACACAATATCTTTATTTATGTTATTTATTTTTTATGTGGTGCTGAGGATCAAACCCAGTACCTCACAAGTATGAGGCAAGCTCTCTACCTCTGAGCTATAACCCCAGCCCCTAGAGTGTTCTTAATATGTGTATGATCTTGGTTTCATCCCAGTACTGCCAAAACACAAAGTTATATGAGATGTACACAAAACCATTGCAGTTATAAAAGATCGGAACAGTTTAATAAAAAGAGGGATGAAAATCCTCCTAGCTACTTCTTTATCCCTCAGAGGTAACTATTTATGGTGTTTTATACATCCTTCAGTTCTTTTAGTGAGATATTATAGTACTCAATACTTTGTGTTTACATCTGGAGAATTAAATCTTGGTTCTTTATCTATAGACTCAAGCACCAATACATCTTAGTTACCACAAGAAAGATTGGAGAAGGCTGGTTTTAGCTGAGTGACAGAATTCTTGCCTAGCATGTGCAGGGAACTAAGTTCCATCTCCAGTATTGCACCACCCCCTCAAAAACAAAAAAACAAAAAAAACTATGGAGGATGGGGACTAGAAACACAGCAAGATGATGGTTTTAGAACAAAGTTCATGATTCATTGGTCAGCCTTTCTCTCTCTCTCTCTCTCTCTCTCTCTCTCTCTTTTCTTTTTCTTTCTTTCTTTCTTTTTTTTTTTTTTTTGGCAGTACTGGGGATTGAGCCCAGAGGCACTCTACCACTGAGCTATGTCCCCGCCCTTTTCCAGGGTCTCACTAAGTTGCTAGTGCTGGTCTCAAACTTTGGATCCTCCTGCCTCAGCCTCTTGGGTTGCTGGGATTATAGGTATACACCACGCATAGCTGGTCAGCCTTAGTTCTATGTCTCTGCTTTACTCTGAACTCTTCCCATTTCTTATAAACCAGGACATGGAAAATGTGTAGCATCCAGCCACCACTCTCCCTCTAATTCTCCTTCCCTAATTGTGCAATCAATACCATAATCAATGCCTGGATTATTATAGTAGATTCCTTTCTGGAACATTCATGTCCCCTTTTGTCCACTATAATATATTCCGTGAATAGCAGCCAGTGAGGTTATTCCTCTGCTCAGAACCCTTTGGTGGCTTTTGGTTTCACCCAGAATAAAAATTGAACCCTATCTAGGGCCTGACTTCTGGATAATCCCTCCCCCCATTGTATCCTATCATAGTGGGTCCATAATTTTGTTGCACTTTAGAATAGTTTGAGAGCCTTTTCAAAATCCTGATGCTCAGGTCAGACTGTATTCTCATTAATTAAATAAGGATATTTAGGGATGAAGGGCCCCTGCAGACTTCAATGTGCAGCACAGTTTGGGAGCCACCTTTCTATCACTTTGCTTCTGGTTTCCTCTTTCCCTTTTGCCTGCATTGCCACCCCACCCCACCCCAATCCCATTGCAGGGCTTTATCCTGTCCCCTCTATCTGGAAGCCTTCCTCCTCTTAACTGTATTATCTAGCCCCTCATACAGGCTTCTGCTTCTATATACATTGCTGTCAAAGCTGCCCTCTTGGACCAGCCTGTCTAAAAATGATATTTACTCTTTGCATTCTTGCTTCCTTGAGTTTCATTCTTGGCATTTACTTTTACCTGCTATATTTTTGTTTGTTGTCTGGCTCCCTCAACTGGTAAGTGTGGTAGAAGCCTCCTTTCTCTACAGTAACTTTGGTGCTTAGTGCAGTACCTACACATAATAGGTGCTCAATAAGTGCTTGTTGAACATGTTAACTTGGATGTAGACTTTTTGTGGCTTCTCAGCCCATCATTACCTCTTGGCGTACTCATACCTGTTTCTCCCTCCCTCCTTCTCTCTCTCTCTCTCTTCCCCTTTTCTTTCTCTCTCTCTCTCTCTCTCTCTCTCTCTCTCTATATATATATATATATATATATATATATATATATATATTTATTTATTTAACTAGATTGTAGATTGATTGAAAAATTCAAATATCAGAAAGATAATCCATGAAAAGGCCTAAAGCCGGATGCAGTGACACACACTATAATCCCAACTGCTTACAACACTGAGGCAGGTTCAGGGTCAGCCTGGGTAACTTAGTGAGACCTTGTCTCAAAATAAAAAATAAAAAGGACTGGCACCCCTGGGTTCAGTCCTAGTACTGTTTAAAAGAAAGTGTGCCTGAGGCCCACCAATCCCATATACCCATTGTCCATAATTCATTTCTGTTTCTAGCTTCTCAGAGTTCTTTTATGTGTGAATAAGCAACTGTAAATATATGTTTCCACTTTTCTGTGCTGTTCACTTTCCATCTTGATGTGGCTTCTTTTCTTCCTTCCTCTCTCCTTGCCTCAGTCTCTGGTTTTTCAGCTCCATAGAGAGGATTAGCCAGGCAGACCTTTGATTTCAATCAGCCTTGGATCAGGTGCTTGTCTTGGGCCTGGACAACTGTGATGAGCATTGTGTCAGCTAAGGCTTCTACCTCATGGTGGCACTGTGGGCTTATATTTTCCCCTAGGAGGCAGCTAGAGTTGGCAGCCTCTGTAAAATCTGGCTGCTATGAGTTAAAAGTAGAAACACAGAAGTGTTTGGTTGCATTAAAGAAGTCCAGGTTTGCCTGGTGTGATGGTGCATGCTTGTAATCCTAGCAGCTTGGTAGGCTGAGGCAGGAGGATCACAAGTTTGAGGCTAGCCTCAGCAATTTACTGAGGCCCTAACTAACTTAGTGAGACCCTGCCTTTAAAAAAAAAAAATGAAAAAAAAAAAAAAGAAAAGTCCAGGGTAAGATGGGCATAGTGGTGTGTGCCTGTAATCCCAGCTACTCAGGTTGAGGAAGGAGGTTTAGTTGAGCCCAGGAGTTCAAGGCTAGCCTAGGCAATATAGCAAGACCCTGTCTATTTTTTCTTTTCTTTTCTTTTCTTTTTTTTTTTTTTTTTTTTTTACCATAATGGGATTGAACTCAAGGATACTTGACCACTGAGCTACATTACCAACCTCTTTCAGTTTTTTATTTTATTTATTTATTTATTTGCAGGGCTGGGGATTGAACCCAGAGCCTATATGTGCTAGACAGGTACTCTACCACTGAGACACATCCCTAGCCCCTTTTTTTTATTTTGAGATAGTCTTGCTAAGTCACCAAGTCTGGCCTAAAACTCAATCCTCTTGCCTCAGCCTTCCGAATTACTAGGATTAACAGACATATACCACTGTGCCCATAAGATCCTGTCCTTAAAAGAAGCAGATACCGGCTAGGTTGGTGGCACACATCTGTAATCCCAGCAACTCAGGAAGCCAAGACAGGATCACAAGTTCAAGGCTAGTCTCAGTGACTTAATAAGACCCTATCTCAAAAAATGAAAGGGCTAGGGATGTAGCTCAGTAGTAAAGTACCCCTGTATTCAATCCTCAGGGCCACTCTTTCCCCTCCCCCAAAAAAGTAAGGGCTGGGAATTTTAAATCATCTCTTGATGATTTATGATACCTAATACAATGTAAATGCTGTGGAAATAGTTGCTACACTGTATTGTATAGGGAAGGTGTCAAGGAAAAAGTCTGTACATATTTAGTACAAATGCAGTTTTTCTGGATATTTTCAATCTGAGGTTAGCTAAATCCACAGGTGCAGAACCTGCAAGTATAGAGGACAAACTACTATCAACCCAGACTTTTGTATGGGAGTAGGGGGAGTACTGGGCATTAATCCCAGGCTCTTGTGCATACTAGGCAAATGCTATACCACTAAGCTACATTTTGTTTATTTGTTTAAAGTTGATATTTTTTTTTAAGTATATATACCTTTATTTATTTTTATGTAGTGCTGAGGATAGAACCCAGTGCTTCACGTGTGCTAGGCAAGCACTCTACCACTGCCTCACATATGCTAGGCAACTGCTTTACCACTGAGCTACATTTTAAACTTTGACAACACATCTAAATTTGCAAAAAAATACTCAGGTGTAAACACTTCTTGGCTGGTGGTCCATGGGCTTCTGTTTGTAGTCTCTGGTCTAAAGTGCTTTTTTGTTTGTTTCTTTTTTTTTTTTTTTTGGATTATTTATTTCAGATCTCTTAAGGACAGTCCCAAGATCCAGAGCGGATATGTATGATGATGTTCACAGTGACAGCAGATACTCCCTCAGTGGATCTGTAGCTCACTCTCGAGATGCTGGGAGAGAAGGCCTGAGAAGTGATGTGTTTGCAGGACCCTCCTTCAGATCAAGCAACCCTTCCATTGGTGATGACAACTACTTTCGCAAAGAATGTGGTCGGGATTTGGAATTTGCCCATGCTGACACCCGGGACCAGGTCTTTGGCCACCGGAAATTGGGGCATTTCCATTCTCAAGACTGGAAATTTGCACTCCGTGGCTCTTGGGAGCAAGACTTTGGCCGCCCAGTTTCCCAAGAATCCTCCTGGTCACAAGAGTATAGTTTTGGTCCTTCTGCTGTGTTGGGGGACTTGGCCTCCTCCAGGCTGATCGAGAAAGAGTGTTTGGAAAAAGAGAGTCAAGATTATGATGTGGACCATCCAGGGGAGGCGGACTCTGTTTCCAGAAGCACTGGTCAAGTTCAGGCCAGAGGCCGAGCTCTAAACATCATTGATCAGGAAGGCACCCTTCTAGGAAAGGGGGACACTCAGGGCCTGCTTACAGCAAAGGGTGGTGTTGGGAAACTTGTCACACTGAGAGGTGTGACCACAAAAAAAGTACCCGTTATAAATCGTATTACTTCCAAAACTCAGGGCACTAACCAAATCCAGAAAGCCACCCCAAGTCCTGATGTGACCCTGGGGACAAACCTAAGGACAGAAGACATCCAGTTCCCCACTCAGAAGATCCCTTTGGGGCTTGATCTAAAGAACATTCGGTTCCCTAGAAGAAAGATGAGCTTTGACGTTATAGATAAGTCTGATGTGTTTTCAAGATTTGGGATAGAAATAATTAAATGGGCAGGATTCCATACTATAAAAGATGATGTTAAATTTTCTCAACTTTTCCAGACTCTCTTTGAACTTGAAACTGAAACCTGTGCTAAAATGCTTGCCTCATTCAAATGCTCCTTAAAACCAGAGCACAGAGATTTTTGCTTTTTTACTATCAAATTTTTAAAGCACTCTGCTTTGAAAACACCCAGAGTTGATAATGAGTTTTTAAACATGCTTTTAGACAAAGGTGCTGTGAAGACCAAAAATTGCTTTTTTGAAATCATAAAGCCCTTTGACAAATACATAATGAGGCTTCAAGACCGACTTCTGAAGAGTGTCACACCCTTGCTCATGGCCTGCAATGCCTATGAGCTCAGTGTCAAGATGAAGACCCTAACTAACCCTCTGGACTTGGCTATTGCCCTAGAGACCACCAATTCTCTCTGCCGGAAATCTTTAGCCCTTTTGGGACAGACATTCTCATTGGCTTCTTCTTTCCGGCAAGAGAAAATCTTAGAAGCTGTTGGCCTCCAAGATATAGCCCCCTCTCCTGCTTCCTTTCCAAACTTCGAGGACTCCACTTTGTTTGGGAGAGAGTATATAGACCATCTGAAAGCATGGCTGATCACCAGTGGGTGTCCCTTACAGGTCAAGAAGACTGAAGCAGAGCCAGCACGAGAGGAGGAGAAAATGATTGCTCCTATGAAACCAGAAATTCAGGCCAGGGCTCCAAGTGGTCTGAATGATGGTGAGGAAAGCAGTGGAAGTTTCTATGTGTTGGGGCTTATTTTCCTGATTTTTGATAATGTCTCCTATTCTCTTTGAGATTTTTACACAGCAGTTCTTTAGTTAACTAAAACCAGTCAGGATTTTAGTAGAAAATCACACTGGTCAATACACATGTCTGCCATTCTTCTGTGAATGTGTGTTAAGAGTCTTCTGCCACATAAGCCCTTAAAAATTTTGGGATCATAGATCTCTTTGACATTCTCATGGAAAGCTGTGGCCCTTGCCAAGACAAAAGGACATTTATATTTACATAAATTTTACCTATACTTTTTCATCAGAGATCAAAATTAAGATCCCCTGTTCAACATGCCCACCTTTCCCCAGGTATTACTAGAAGGAAGGGGAAAGACAAACAAAAAAACCGCTAGATGCCATCTCTAAGGAGTCCCTGGCTCCAGAGGTAAGGAGATCTCAAAATACAGTCACTCCTGTGCTAGGTTGAAAGGGTCACAGTAGAGGCCCCAGCCCAGCCTGGGGAATCAGGGAGGCTGTGGTTGAGTTGTGTTGAAGGATGCACAAGGACCAGCTAGGGTATTTCAGTTGGTGGCAGCACCTTTCCTCCACCCAACTTCCTTTTCTAGATTTGTGTGTGTGTGTGTGGTGCTGGCAGTTGAACCCAGGGCCTTGTGCATGTTAGGCAAGCACTCTACCAACTGAACTGTATCCCCAGCCCTCTTTTCTAAATTTGCTAAAGACACTTAAGTTTTCTTAATTACACTTGATAACCAGCAGTTAATGTAGTGACCAAGAAATAGGATTAGAAATGACTATTTGCTTTCCATCTTCCCTCTTCTTACTCCCAGAATGGATGCTCTCACTGCTCAGAGGTCATAAGCATATATCCATGTTCTCTTGGCTACTGTGACCAGTGAGAAAGCACTTTGACCCTGACATGGTTTTCAGTTTTCATTGTTCTCAGCCCAGTGGGGACTTTCATTTGTACCTGATTTTTTTCCGGTTCCATACCACCCTCATGAAGCCCTGATTGCATGAGGCAATGGATAAGTCCTACCATGTGTGGGTAGTCACAGCTACTCCTAGAGAGGGAACCTGAGGTAGTGGGTTCAGGACTGAAGCATTACCCTCCCTCAACCCTAAAATGTTGAATGGAAAGTCAGTGTAATAGGGTTACTAAAGAATATAGCAGAAAGGAAGGGTCACCTATAACCTAACTAAAAGTGGCTCACCACCCACTTGTGGTATTTTTGCAGCTGCACACATGCTGGAAGTAAATGTTACCATCTGCTCTTTTATGCGATTGTCTCTGCAGTGTTTGCTACATCATGCTGACCTGATGAAAATTATTGCACCTTTGGCTTGATGTCAAACTCATGGAGCCTTTTACTAGAGGTTTCTGAAGCCAAACAGTGATGGGGTCACATGTAATTGGCATCCACCAGCCTTGGTTCTCTGCATGCACATCTGGATAGCCAATGAGAGGGCCCATATTTCACAGGAACTGCTGAATAGCATCAGGCAGTGTCACTGCCCAACATTGCACCTGTTCTTGTTGGAAATGCTGAGATGACATCTTTCATTGAATGTGTTGATTATTAATTATTTTTAATTTTTTCTTTTTAATCCTTCCTTCAAAGTATATGTTCTCAGTGGTAGGGTTGCTGGGCCAAAGCTGTGGCCCTGTTCTGGCCATTTCATGGTCAGCCTAGCTAGAAATGACCAAATTTGCAGCAATCCACAAATTTCATTTGCCTATAAAAGCTTTTGGTTTGTACTTCATATTCTTTTGTAAAATAAGCAGTTTTAAAACGAGAGCCAACAAAGAAGAAAATGCAGTTTCATAAGGGAAGTATTTTGCAATAACATGACAGTCGAAGGATTTATCCTGTGTGAGGAGCACACAGTAATGTTTAAAATAAGCCCAGCAATATATCTAAAAAGAACAAATAAAAAAATATGTAGGCTCACTTGGGCCCTGGAGTTCAGGGCCACTTAGGAAACAGCAAGTTCCCATTTCAAAAAAAATAAATATAAGCCCAAAGAGGCTGGGAGTTACCACTCTGTGGTGGAACACTTGCCTAGCATGTAGAAGGGTCTGGGTTTGATCCCAGTGCCACAACCAAATTCAAAGCTCCAACGCAAAGACAGCATTGGGCAGTCATTTACAGAACAAACTGGGAAACCACTCCAGTTCAAGGGTAACTTTAATTAAATGACTGAACAAACAGACTATTCTGTGCTAGTAAAACTACAAATATCAGGAAGCTAAACAATCATTATTTGAAGAAGCAAGCTATTCTGCATTGCTGATAGCACTGTAAATTTACAGAGTCATATTGGAAGAAGCTTACACTTTAAAAAATCATTTACTTTTCATTTGGCATGCTCACACACACACACAGGATTTTAGCCTAGGGATGGCTGCTTTACATCCCCATCCCCTTGTTTTTAATTTTGAGAGGATCTTACTAAGTTGCCAAGGCTGACCTAAACTTGTGGTCCTCCCACCTCAGCCTCTTCAGTAGCTGGGATTACAGGTATGCGCCACCACATCCAGCCTAACAAATAGTTTTTGTGAACTAACTTGGGGCCATTGACTTGTTTGGGAGGGTTTTGTTGTTTTGATGCTGGAGATGGAACCGGAGCCTTGTGCAAGCTAGGCAAATGCTCTACCATTGAGTTACTTGACTTTTTTTTTTTTTAATTAGGGAATTTTTCTTTGTGAACTTATTTTTTTCCTCTTACAAAACACATATATGCTTCCCTCCACTCTCACAGTACTGGGGATTGAACCCAGGGTCTTATACATGCTAGGCAAACAGTCTACCACTGAGCTATTCTCCCATCACTTTTTAAAATTTATTTTGATACAGGATCTTCCTAAGTTGCCTAGGCTGGCCTTGTACTTGGTTCACATTGCCTGCACTTTTTTTTTTACTTGTAGTTGGACATAATACCTTATTTTAATCTATCATGTGCTAGGCAAGCGTTCTGCTGAGCCACAACCCCAGCCCCTGTGCCTGTACTTTTAAGAATATTTTATGTCTTTACAGCTCTACTTTAATATTATGGACATTCAAGTTAAGTGATACATAAACAATAGTAGGGAATTGCTATATATCCTTTCCTTTTCTAGACTGTATGCATAAATTGCTCCATACAGTTGTTAAGTCTGTTACATTTCAGTTCTAGTAGTTATGCTGTTGTATCATTTGGGGAGGACTTCTTGTACATTGGTAAGCCGATGTCTTATGTATGAGGATTTCAGTTTCTGGTGCCTGCTTAGGTTTCAGACGAAGCCCTGTGACTCACTGTCCTGGTCTTTCCAGGACACACATGGTCTGGTGTGTTTCTCAGAAAAGCCATTCTCTATGTTCCAGCAGTTCCCCAGCGAGCAGATCACAAGGTGGTGGACACCATTGACCAGCTTGTCACACGCATTGTGGAAGGCACCCTCTCTCCCAAAGAGAGATCTGTTCTCAAGGAAGACCCTGCTTACTGGTAAGTCTTTAAAAGTTGACCCTACAGACCCTTCTATATTGTGTTCTGCTGGTGTTGAAAGAAGCAGCTGAGATGTCTGTTTTGAACAGCATTGTTGTTCAATGGAAAGAAGACGGGGCTGAGTCAGATTCACATGGGTTTAGCAAGCCACAGCTCTGCTGAGACCAGCCATGGGGCCTTTTCTTGTCTATGAATGAAACCTAGAGTTCCTTTTTTAAGGGTACAGTGAGATATGTGTGTGTCAAGAGCACATAATGGGATAAATAATGTCATAGCAGTTTGCAATTTATTTCTGTTTATGACACTATCCTCTCCTTTTGCCTTACTGCTGCTCCTTAGGCTTAGAACAGTTTTTTAACATTATGAATGAATTATATGATAAATATAATACTTGCTCATTAGAGGAAGTACCAAAGAATAGAATGTAGAAGGAGCCCACCTGTGTGCTGACTGACATCCATTGATGTTTTCGTTTATAGATGTTCCTTGGCTTACCATGGGTTACATCTCAGTAAACACCCAATAAACATGTTGGAAGTTGAAAATATCAGATGATTGGGTGCAGTAGTGCACACTCCAAACACCTAACCTCCCAAACATTACAGCCTAGTAACATAGGACACTATAGAGTGTCAGCTGTTCCCTTCATTATCCTGTGGCTGACTGGGAACTGGCTTACTGCTGTGCCCAGCATTATGAGTATTGCACAACATATCACTAGCCTGGGAAAAGATCCAAATTCAAAATTTGAAATCTGATTTCTACTGAATGCTTATCGCTTTTGCACCATTGTATATTTAAAGGCCAATTTAGTGAGACCCTGTCTCGAAATAAAAAGAATGATAGAGTGTCCTTGTGTTCAATCCCAGCCCACTCCCCACCCCACCCACTAGCCTGCAAAAAAAAAAGGGGGGGGGGTTTGCTCAGTGGTCAGGTCAGATGAGTCCCTGGGTCTGATCTCCAGCACCACAAAAAAGAGAAAAAATATACAGAGGCACCTTTTAGAAGTAATTTGAGAAATTGAAAATCACTGCCTTCAAGGTATGAAGCAAACATGGGAATAGGTCATGACAGTAACATTTTGCTTTTCATTATATGTTCAATTATTTTTCTGATAAACTAATACAAGTACCACTTGGAAGAATTCATGCATACACACCAGAAACATAAGCTTAACAATTTTTCATTTTTTATACCACTTTCCTTCCATGTATAATCTTCAGATAATTCTGCCTGAAGGAGTTTAAGGGTCATAACATTTCTAGGACCAGCTTTTGAATTTGTCCTTCATCAGAATCTAGTCTATCAACCAACCACTAAGACAGACCTTCCTTCCTTTTTCTCTTTTTTTAAAATTTTCTTCTTCCTTTTTTTCTTTATTTGACAGGACTATGATTTAACCCAGGGGTACTCTACCACCGAGTTACATCACCAGCTCTTTCTTTTTGAATAGGGTCTCAACAAGTTGCACAGGCTGGCCTTGAACCTGTGTTCCTCAGTTCCTGAGTAGCTAGGATTAGAGTCATGAACCACCATACCTAGCTATTTCTAAGGTCATAGATTTCACTTTCAACACCCCTAAGAGGTTCTTTTAATGGCCAGTTCCTGTTTCATGGATATAATATATACCTTTATCCTCCTTAGAACTGTTCATTACATATACATATTTTTAGACTAAATCTCCCAGTTTAGTCTAAAAATATGTATAGGCATGCTTAACCACTGAGCCACATCCCCAACCCTTTTTAAATATTTTATTTAGATACAGGGTCTCACTAAGTTGCTTAGGGCCTCTCTAAGTTGTTGAGGCTGGCTGTGAACTCACAATTCTCCTGCCTCAGCCTCCTGAGCCTTGGGGATTACAGGAATGGGCCATCATGCCTGGCTCCTCTTTCTCATAGTAACTTTCTTCACCAGTGTTAGCTCTGTTTGTTGAGATTGGTGCCTCTCCTTCATTATGTTGGTTTTCCTTAACTATTAGATCCCTAGTTCAATATTTATTTCTGATTTTATACCCTACCCTGAATTAAGGATTGTAGCAGATCTGCCTCAAAAAAATAGTTTATAAGTATTCAACCAGCTAGTGTTTATTGGTAATATGCATAGAATAATACAAAGTATACAGGGGCCTAAGTATTTATTTAATTAAAAAATATTTTCTGGGTACAGTGGCATGTGTTTATGTTCCAGCTACTCAGGAGTCTGAGGCAGAAGGATTGAACCTGGGGTGCTTTACCACTGAGCTACAGCCTTGGTCCTTTTAATTTTTATTTTGAGACAGGATCTCACTAAATTGAGGCTAGCCTTGAATTTATGATCCTCCTGCCTCAACTTTTTGAGTCACTGGGATTATAGGCATGTGCCACTATGCCTATAATTCTTAAATTTAAAAACTGTAACAAAAAAAATCAATTCATGATATTGGGACAATTAAGTTATTTGGGGATTTTTAACTTTTAAATTATATGCTTATCTCACTCAATACATGAGGTCATGCCCATCCTGTATTTCTGTTGCTCTTTCTTGACTTATTACAAATGGGATTTTGCTTGCTCTCCTCTCAGCATTTGTTTGCAGAATTCTTTTTGAGGAATTTCTTTCTTTTCWTTTTTTTCTTTTTTTTTTTTTTTTTTTTTTTTKTTATTTTGAGATAAGAGTCTTGCTAAGTGCCCCAGGTTGGTGTCAAACTTGTGATACTCCTGCCTCAGCCTCCCAACTAGCTGGGATTACAGGCATGTATCACCACAACCAGCTTGTTTGAGGAATTCTTAGCCTCTGATCAGAGAATTCCCTTGTTGTTAGGTCTCAAATCAATTACAGTCATCCTTCAGTATCCACAAGGGACTGGTTCCAAGATCCCACATGCATACCAAAATCTGGGAAGATTAAGTCCCTCGTATACAATGGTATATTTGCATGGTATCTTTACACATCTTCCCATATACTTTAAATCATTTTTAAATGACTTTTAATGTCTAATGCAGTATAAATGCTGTGCACATAGTTGTCATATTCTGTTGTTTAGGTATTGACAAGAAAAAGTTTGTTCATGTATGGTAAGGACACGATTGCTTTTTCTTTTTTTGAATATTTTTGATCCACCATTGGTTGAAACCAAGGATGAAGGTTACTGGCTATGATTGGTTCTTTTTATTGGTTAGGGTATGAAAGGGTCAGATTCCAGGAAACAGGCTACCATTATCTCTGTCTCTGAGGGCCAACAGAGATTTGACACATCCTTTCTAATGGGAAAGGGGCAAGCATGTTTTTTCTTGGTGGATCCTTGTGGACAGATCTGGCTACTGCATTCCTATGAGGTGCCCTACCTCAATCTGGTGCAATAAAGTGCAGATACTCAGTGAAGCTTTGCTTTTTCATTTGGAATATCAAGTAGCAAACTTCCCTCTCTTTTTTTTTTTTAATATTTACTTTTTAGTTTTAGGTGGACACAGTATCTTCATTCCATTTCTATGTGGTGTTGAGGATCGAACCCAGCACCTCGCGCGTGCCAGGCAAGCGAGCTACCGCTTAGCCACATCTCAGCCCAGACTTCCTTCTCTTATGAGAGAAATTGCAAAACCATAAGCCAGGAAAATGATCCCAAAGTGCAAGTGATAGAGATGAAGGCACACATCACAGCTGGTTTTCTCTCATCTTCTAAATTGTCCTCTGGGTGGGGGGGGGGCAGCCCTGACTTGTGTTCTCCAGAGGCAGCCCACTAGGTCTGCATATTTACATGCTTGGGAAAGAGCAAGTGGCTAAAAGATCTTCTTGGCTAGCTTCTGCAATATTGTCCAAGGTCCCCAAAATTAATATAAAATATAAATAATTGATACTTGGTGGGAGGAAATGAATCTCAGATATCTTAACAATTCAGGCAGTGCAGAGAAGGAGAAGGAGTATGTGCCCAGTCCATTTTCTTATTCAGAATAATGATAGTGTTAGGTGTTGTTGTTGTTGTTTTGCAGTACTGGGGGTGTAATCCAGGGCCTCACACATGCTAGTCAAGCACTCTATACACAGCTATGGCCCCCAGGCCTAATTGTGATTCTGGATGCACAAAATACATAGCTTTGAACTATGTGAATAAACAATATTGAGAAATTATTTAAAACCAAAACTATAATAAAAAGAATAGATAAATTTAAAACCTTGATAGGAGATGTGTATCTATTTCTCTGGAAAGGGCAGATGATGTAATTCAAAGAAGGATGTAGAAGATTTACTAACATAGTGAACAAGCATAAACAAGATAATCTGCTAATGTTTGTTGAGCAATTAATGGTGTTCAGTGTTCACAGCTTTGCTGCATAACAAAAGGTGTGTGATTCAAGCCTCAACAACAAAATGAAGTATTTTTTTATCTCTTTTTATCCTCCCCACTTTAGGGTTGGAGAAACTAAAGCACAAAAAGACTCATAGCTAATTGCTGTTTGAACCCAGTGCCAGCTTACAAGTTTTGTGTTCTTTTTTTTTTTTTTTTTCCTTTTGTGGTACTAGGGCTGGAACCCCAAGGCCTTGCATGTTAGGCAAGTACTGTACCACTGAGCCACATCCATAGCCCTTTTTATTTTGAGACAGGGTCTGGCTAAGTTTCCCAAGCTGCTCTTGAATCTGCAATCCTCCTGCCTTAGATTCCTAAGTGGCTGGGGCTTATAGATATGCACCACTGTGGCCTGCTTAACTTTTTTTTGTCTGTGTGTTGCCAGGGATTGAACCTAGGGCTTTGTGCATTCAAGGTAGGCACTCTACCAACTGAGCTGTATCCCTAGCCCTAAAATAGGCTTTGTGTTAGATGATTTCGCCCAACTTTACACCAGTAGAAGCTATGATGTTCAGTAGGTGGGGGAGGGTATTAAATGCATTTTCTTTCATCTTATGATATTTTGAACTTAATGGATTAATTGGGGTGTAACTCTCACATAAGTCTCTATAAGCATCCTAAGAAAGAGAACTCACACAGGCCACATTGGGACAAAGTAGAAACTTTGAGACCAGCAACAACTGAAATAGGCATCTAAGTAACTTTTTTTTTTATACTGTGGATTGAATCTAAGGGCACTTTACTGAATGACATACTCAACCCTTTTCCTTCCTTCCTTCCTTCCTTCCTTCCCTTATTTAATTTTTTTTTTTTCTTTTGGTACTGAGGATTGAATCCAGGGCCTTGTGCATGGTATAGCTCTACCAACTGAGCTATACTCCCAGCCCACCTTTTTTTTTTTTTTTTTTTAATAGGATCATACTAGGTTGCTGAGGCTGGCCTTGAACTTGCAATCCTCCTGCCTTAGCCTCCTGAGTAGCTGGGATTATAGTTGTACACACCACATCCAGCTTTGAAGTAACTTTTGAATGAGGAAGTATTCAGAACTGAGATGAGAGACAGTTTAGCAGGAAGCAGCAGAGGAAGCACACTAAATGTAGCCACAATGCTTAGCAGAAATTGACTTTAGGTGTGTTTATTAGAAATAAGGAGTAGATATAAAAAGCATTCAGCCAATGCATTCAGCCAATGGAGCTAGAAGGAAAATGATTAAACAAACTGAGACACTAAAGAGGAAGGATTAACAGAGGTAAGATGCTAATGAATGAAAAACAGTATATAATGCTTTAAAAAATACATACATATAGCCAGGCAGCATGCTGGCTCACATCTATAATCCAGCTACTCAGGAGGCTGAGGCAGGAGGATTGAAAGTTTGAGACCTGCCTGGGCAATTTAGTGAGACCCTGTCTCAAAATAAAAACAAGAAGGGATAGGAATGTAGCTCACTGATAAAGAGTGCTTGCGTAGCATGCACAAGACCCTGGGTTCAATCCCCACTAGTGCAAATGAAAGAGGGTTCCACATTCACAAATGCAAGTAACTGCTGATCAGCTATATTCAGAAAAAAACAACACATGGTGTCTGTCTAGAACATATGCAGATTTTGTTTTCTTGTTATTCTTCCATACATAATACAGTTATAATAACCATTTGCACAGCGTTTACTTTGCATTAGGTAGATAGTCTAGGTCATCTAGATATGATTTTAAATCTACAGGAGGATTGTGTGTAGGTTCTATGCTAATTCTGTCATTTTATAGAAGGGGCTTGGACATCCAGAGGTGTCTGTGGAGGTTCAGGAGCCAATCCCCTGTGCATATTAAAGGACAAAGTATATCAAATGTGAAAATCCCTCTCAATACCCTCTTCTGTCCTCCAGAGCTCATTATTAAATTTGCTTTATATTCTTTCAAACTATATGACAAAAGCAAATTTACACGGGCATGGGTATGTGCACACAGCAGTTTCAGATGACATAGCTATTCTTTAGCTTGCCATTCTCATTGACATATTACAGGTATCTTTCTGTCAGTACACATAGCTAGGCCTCCTCTCTTCCCCCCCTCCCCCCATCCCCACTTTTTTTTTCCAGTACTGTAGATGGAACTCAGGGCCTAACACATGCTAGGTCAGTACTCTACCCCTGAGCCACACCCCAGCCCCAGCCTTCTGATTTCCATACTATTCTCAGCATTATGACCCTGCCATATGATTTCGTAGCTGGGGCACATGCTTCCTTGTTAGTTCTCTCATAGGTCTTGTCATACCTGCCTTACTGGTATAGTTGAAAGCTCACCAAGCACTCTGCCTGGCTAGACCACTGCTGCCACAGTGCTGGAAGCATAGTGTGGTGTCAGCCCCACAGTTTCTGTGGCTCCAGGGTGACTGGTTTGTATTGCAAAACCCTATAAGCTGTGAGAGTCTTCAGATGACAGAAATTAAGAAAAACTCAACCAGTGCTCATCAAGACTCCTGACTGTTCAGTGATCACTCTGGGCAGGGCAGGGGCCCCAGGCCCTTTTCTGGGTCCTCAGTGAAGCCACAACGAGGTCCTCAGAAAACAGGACAGCAGGGAGGCTGCCACTTAGAAAGGCTTTGCAGAAATGTGTGGTGTTTTCACAAATGTCTTGCTATGCCTGTCTTGTTGCATAGGTTTTTGTCTGATGAAAATAGTCTGGAATATAAGTATTATAAGCTGAAGTTAGCAGAGACCCAGCGGATGAGCCAGACCTTGCAAGGAACCGACCGGAAGCCAACATCTGCCGAGTGTGCAGTGCGGGCCATGCTGTATGCCCAGGCAGTACGGAACCTCAAAAAAAGACTGCTTCCCTGGCAGCGTCGGCGGATCCTTCGTGCTCAGGGACTCCGGGGCTGGAAGGCAAGGAGAGCAACCACTGGGACCCAGACCCTCCTGTCGTCAGGCACCAGGCTAAAACATCATGGTCGGCAGGCTGCAGGCTCCTCACAGGCAAAGTCATCCCTGCCAGATGGAAACAATGCTGCCAAGGACTGCCCACCAGACCCAGCCAGACACTCTCCTCAGGACCCCAGCCCAGAAGCCTCAGGCCCATCCCCTAGACCAGCAGAAATGGATGTCTCTGAAACCCCTCACACCTCCTCTCCCAGCCCATCTGCTGACGGTGGGTATTCATTCACTCCTGATCCCCTTCTGTGGACCCCAATCCCTACTCTCATCTTCAGGAGTCTTCATAGAACTAGGGGCAATGTAGATTGCTCAGTGGCCTGGACAATGTGGGAAGCAATGGCTACAGGGATCTGGACAGGACAGGCACACATGGAGGCACTTTCTTCCCTGCTTCTCTAGAGGGCCCAGAGTGAGTCTGTCATCATCTTCTCTTCCTCTCCTGAGGGTGGAACTTTGGTGCTCCCCAGCAGGGTCCTGATACTGGGTCCTCTATACCTGTGATTCCTTTTTTTTTTTTTTTTTTGGTACCAGAGATTGAACTCGGGCACTCGACCACTGAGCCACATCCCCAGCCCTATTTAGAGACAGGGTCTCACTGAGTTGCTATGGCTGAATTGCTGAGGCTGGCTTTGAACCTTTGATCCTCCTGCCTCAGCCTCCTGAGCTGCTGGACTTACAGGCGTGTGCCACCATACCCAGCTAGTGATTCCATTTCTTCCTCTGTTTCTTTCTTTCTCTTTTTTTTTTTTTTTTTTTTTTTTGTGTGTGTGTGTATGTGAGTGTGTAGTGCTGAGCATTGAACCCAGGACCTTGTGCATGTGAGGCATGCACTCTACCAACTCTACCACAGCCCTCTGTGATTCTATTTCTTACTACTGTCGTCCCTCAGTTCCTCTCGGGGAATTGGTTCCCGGGCCTCCTAAAGAAACCAAAATCCACTGTTGTTTAAGTCTCTTTTATAAAACAGTAGTATTTGCGTAGAATCTGTGCACATCCTCTCACAGACTTTAAATCATCCCTGGATTACTTGTAGTACTTAATACAACATAAATGCTACATAAATAGTTGTTACATTATTTATGGAACATGAAAAAGAAAAATCAGTAATTTCTTCAGTACAGAAGCAATTTTTTTCTGAGTATTTTGGTTGATTTTTTTTTTTTAACTCCCATGGTACATTTATTTAGTTAATTAATTATTGCCAGGGATTGAACCCAGAGGCACTTAGCTACGGAGCCACATCCGTAGCCCTTTTTGAATTTTGAGTCAGGGTCCAAGTGCTTAGCTAAGGTCTTGCTAAGTTGCCAAGGTTGGCTTTGAACTTGATCCTGCTTCAGCCTCCCAAGCCATTGGGGATGACAGGCATGCGTCACCATACCTGGCTCTTTTTATTTATTTATTTATTTATTTATAATATATTTTTTTAGGTATTGATGGACCTTTATTTTTCCATGCGGATTGAAGATTGAACCCAGGGGCTCGCACATGCTAGGCGAGCGCTCTACCACTGAACCACAACCCCAGCCCTTTTTTATTTTTTTATATTGAGACAGGGTCTTGTTAAGTTGCCAGGGCTGGTCTTGAACTTGCAATCCTTCTGCCTCAAACTTCCAAGCATCTTGAATTACAGACATGTGCCCCCATGTCCAACTTGAGTATTTTTAATCTGCATTTGGTTAAATCCTTAGAAGCAGAACCAGCAGGGGCCATCTGTATATCCTTGACTCCCTTGATATTCTGGACTGCCTTTGTCTCTCATTCTGCCTCTTCCTCACCAAGACCTCTGTAGTACTGTGCTGAGGGCTAGTTGACATCCCTGGCTTCTGAGTTGAGTAACAACCCCTTCTGTTTCTCTTAGTCCCCTTTAAGCCTTACTGTCTCTCTGTATAATGAGGCTTAATTGCAGGTAGTAATACTCTAATCTCTTATATTCTCTGCCTATTGCTTTGTCACAATAAAACTATACTGTGGCTGTACACATGAGGCTTCTATTATTCCTTAGTATCTGGTTAACTGGGCCTGCATATGTGACTGTGGTCAGTATTAGGGTTGTCTGGGGCTGGGGACTGAAATAACAGGGGTGTCTGGGCCACATACCCACAGCAGCCAGACCCAGGTGTGCTTCCTGATTGACAGGGCAGGGCTCCAGGAGAGACAGTGGATGCTTGAGGCCTCCAAGGCCTAGTTTATAATTGGCAGGTGACACTTCTGCCATATCTTGTCAACCATTTCTAAAATGGGGGGGTGGGTGGGAATCTCCTGTTCAACAGAGTTGCAAAGTCACTTGGCAAAGGGCAGAGTACAGGGAGGGACATAGGACCATCTTTACAGTCAGTTTTCACTGCTCCACAATGTTTATGTAGGAAGTAGCAGCAGCTCAGAAGCCATGACAGGTCCCTTATGTTTTGTAGTTGACATGAAGACCATGGAGACTGCAGAGAAACTGGCCAGATTTGTTGCTCAGGTGGGACCAGAGATTGAGCAATTCAGCATAGAAAACAGCACCGATAATCCTGACCTGTGGTATGTACCCCCAATCTCATTACCACCCAAGGATTGAACCTATAGCTTTGCACAGGCTAGGCATGTGTTTACTACCACTGAACTACATCTATAGCCCTTTTTATTTTGAGACAGTGTCTCACTAAGTTGCCCAAGCTGGCTTCAAATTTGTGATCCTCCTGCCTCAGCCTCCTCAGTCACTGGGGATATAGGCATGTGCCACTATACCTCAGCCTAAATTTTTTTCTAGAAAGCTCTCTGGTTGTTCCACACCATTCACTGAAAACACTACCTTTATTACAGTAATTTTAGAGGCCATATTCATCAGATCCCATGTTTCAGGGCTTTCCTAGTATATTCTGTTGGTCTGCCATATGGACTACTTGGCTCTTTCACCCTCACAAAGGCAGTTATGACATCTTATAGTATTTGATGAGGTACCCTTGTTGGTATTGTATTTTCCCAGATAGTCTAATGTATTTATTTATTTTTAATGAATATTAAAATCCTCTTGTCCTAATCCAGGGAAAATTGTTTTTATTGGGATGTTTATACATTAATTAGGGGAGAACTGGCATCTTTTTAGAGTTGAGTTATCCTATCCAGAAAAAAGAGTTGTCTTTCCTTTGATCCAGGTGGACTTTTGTTCCTTTGGAGTGTCACATTTTCATATCAGCCACAGCCCCACAACTATGATTGAGGTCAGAGGCGACCGCTAGACTGCGAAGCCTCATGGCCATGTCCATCTGCTGTGCTGCAGGACTCAGTGGAGGAGCTTCTGCAATGATAAGCCCTCTCTGAGGCCTGCCTCACAACTCTTTAGAGCTTGGATCTCTGCAGTAGCTGTGTAGTGTTTCTTGGCACATTTCCGCGTCTCATAGCTCAAGAGTGTGAGAAGAACCAGAGATCAGAATGCATATGTGGAGGCCGAGAGAGGCCAGTTAAGTAACCAGAAAGGATGAGGTGTTGCCCATGTCAGATCTCCTGGCTGCAGCATCAAAGCTGGTTCTATCATCCTCCTTGGTTGTCTACAAATTCCTTGTTCCTTCACCTCCTTCCCCTGAAAAGCAGTTAGGCCTCTTAGGTTTTTGGTTCCTTTGCTAAGTTACTAGTTCTTATCACTTTATCTCATTGAGAAGCTGCACCATCAAACCACAGCTGTGACAGAAGAGGCCTGGTAGTTCATTCTGTTTTCTCACCCCCAGCTTCATTGTATTCATCCCAGAATGTTTTAGCAAATAAAAATGTTTAAAGGTATCCTCTGGTTAATAGTGTATTTCATCTGTGTCCCAGGTTCCTACATGACCAAAATAGTTCTGCTTTCAAATTCTACCGGAAGAAAGTGTTTGAACTGTGCCCATCTATTTGTTTTACATCATCACCCCTCAGCCTTCAGGCCAGCATGGGTGGTGAGAGTGCAGACTCTCAGGAGAGCCCCTTAGACCATGCGGAAAGGGAAGGAGAGTTAGAGGATGAGCACCCTCAGCAGGAGGCTGAGCTGGAGAGCCCAGAGGTGATGCCCGAGGAGGAAGAAGAAGAGGAGGATGAGGAAGAAGAGGATGAGGAGGATGAAGGGGGAGAGGAGGCCCTTGCTCACAGAGCCTCCAGGCCAGGAGTAAGAGCTGACAAGTCTGAGGGCTCTGAGGGAAGCCCCCCTGCTGATGGCCTCCCTGGCGAAGGTGCGGAGGATGACCCAGCCGGAACTCCTGGCTTGTCACAGGCCACCTCCAGCACCTGCTTTCCGCGGAAGAGGATCAGCAGCAAATCACTGAAAGTTGGCATGATTCCAGCTCCCAAGAGGGTGTGTCTCATACAGGAGCCACAAGGTGAGTGCCTCCCTATGACAGCATAGTTCTTGCTTTAGAGACCGTGAAAGGTAGTGGAGATATTGCCTGACCATTTCTGAAGAATCTCCTGGCCCTCAGCCATAGCTCAGCTGCATAATTGACCCATACTTACCACCTTTATGGTGACCTCGGTAGGACACCACCTCCCAAATATCCACCCTCAGAGGCCTGTGTGAGAGCTCCAAAGTGTCCAACACTACATGGAGTTCTCTGATTTTGTTTTTTTATGTTTTGTTTTTTTCCAATGCTGGAAATCATACCCAGGGCCTCATGAATGCTGAGAGCACGCCCTGCTACTGAACTTTAATCCCAGCCCTTGTCTTGTGATTTTAATCTAAAATAATTTCATCAATTTTAAACACCGTTCCATAATGCCAATGCAAAACCTGTTTCCAAGTTCATCTGAAGTTATTGTTTCTTCATTAGGCTATGGCTTCCAGCACTCCATGAACTGCTAGCTATCTCTGTTAATGCCCAGAGTCCATTGGGAGGAGCCCTGACTTTGGGCCTGGGTCTTCTAGCCTTTGTGGACTCCCTTGGGGAGTAGCCTGCCTTCTGGTTCCCAGAAGTCCTGGGGTAGTGATATCTGCTCCCTGAAGTGACAGTGATGCGGGAGGGCAGAGGATACTGTTCACAGCTAGCTATCACAGCTACCTCTGTGTGAGACCATCACATTCACAAGCAGCAGTGTCCTTTGGGAGAGTCCTGGTATTTGTTTGACATTGCAGAAACATTGGGAAACTTTGACATTGCAGTGGATTGCTAATTGTTCCACCATAACCCTTCCATCCTGTAGAACTTCTGTAGATGGCTACCCAGCATCAGAATGCTTGTCAAATATGTCTCACCTGGGGGAAGGTGGCATTCTTTGTTTTTCTTTTGGATGCTCTCTGTTCTTTGGGAGGTCAATGAAATAAAACTGGCTTGCTGATCTTCCCTTTATCAAAAATAGTAATAGTGTGATTAATAGTCCATATGAAAAGCATGATTTTTATTAGAAAGTTTTAGATGGACTTTAAATCCTTACCAGTGGAATAGTTGCAGAGAAATTGAGAGGGCAGTGTTGCAAATAGTTCATTTGCTAAAGAAAAGCATTCCTGTGATGTTTAGGGGTGGGGCTCAGTGGTAGAGTACTTGCCTACCATGCAAGTACCATCCCCAGCACTGCCAAACAAAAATTTAAAAATGTCCTGTGGTCATGGAAGATAATCTACATAGCAAGTCATTTGTTAGAAATGTGGAAGCTTTTATGTTTGAGTAGACTTTTTCAAAGTGATACACCTCTTAGTTGAGCCTTTTGCTATGGGCCAAGTTGCTAACTCTGGACACATCTAGCCTCTACACTTGCTATATGGGTCATGGCCATTGTTGAAAGGAGCCAGGATACAGCAGCCACTATCGGGGCAGAGTGTAGGGCACCTTCTATTATCAGAGAAGCTGGGAGCCAAAACTCCATAACAAATTGTCTCCTTATAAGGAAATTGGGGAAAGTGTATGTATGTATGTATGTACATATATCTTTCTTTTGTCTTTCAGTCCATGAACCAGTTCGAATTGCCTATGATAGGCCTCGAGGTCGTCCCATGTCCAAAAAGAAGGTGAGCTTAACCATTAACAAGTCCTCACTCAGGCAAAACCAAGTACAGTGATAAACTGATAGTCCCAGCTACTCAGGAAGCTAAGAAAGGAGGATTCCTTGAATCCAAGAGTTTGATACCAACCTGAGCAATATAGTGAGATCCCATCTCAAAAAAGAAGTGAGGTAGGCACATGGGCACATGTCTATAATCCTGATGATTCAGGAGACTAAGGCAGGAGGATCCCAAGTTTAAGGATAGCCTCTGCATCTTAGCAAGACCCTGGTCCCCCGCCAAAAAAAAAAAAAAAAAGGCAGGGGAAGTAGCTCAGTGGTAATGCTCCCCTGGGTTCAATCCCAAGTAGCGAAGAGAAAAAAAGTAACCAATAGCCATATTTCACACTGAGATGTTACTAGACAAAATACAACAGAGACTTCTCAGGGGACTTTTTAAACCACCCAAAGTATAGGAGGGTGGTTCTTAGTTTGACAAATGAGACCTGATGGGTGTAGTAAGACTTGAGAGATGAGCAAGATAATGGCCATTGAGAAGTTAAAGCTTCTTAGAATGTGGCTGTGATAAAGAGTGTGTGTGTATCTTCTGGAGGAAAAAAAAAAAAAGTGGGTGTGTGCTCAGAAACAGCTTCCACGCGACAGGTTCCTTCTAGCTATCAAAGGCTAGGCTGCAGCAGGGAGGTCAGCAAGTGACAGACATGGGTGTGACTCAGTTGAGGTGGTGCTGTAGGTAGAGAAGCAGGTAGGAGGAGATGGGGAATAAAGAGGGATTGGGCGTGTATCACTGAATCAGAGAAGCCAGGGAAAGTCTCCCTGGCAGGTGTCACTGGCCCAGACCTGGAGGAGGTGAGGAAGAGCTTTCAGAGATCTTAAGAATGCACAGTCTGGACAGAGACCCAGGACAGTCCCAGGCCAGCAATGTAGCAGGAATGGAGTGACAGGGTGGGGGGACCCAGGTCACACAGGGTCACAAACAGATGTGACCCTATGGCTGGACCTGAGGTCCTGTGCCTGCCTCCTTTTGGTAGGATGTTGGGACCCCCGGTCCATCCTTTTCTGCTTTGGCTCATGCTCTTAGCATTACCCCAGGAATAGCCTAGAGGGCCTCTCCAGAACCGCACACTCCCACGCTGTGGCCCTTCTCTGAGGGAGGCCCTTGGGACTTGAGCAGGGTTTTGGGTAGAGACATGCAACTCTGTGGAGAGCAGCCTATGGCATGGGATCCAGGCAGAGCAGAGGCCCCAGGAGGAGGCTCAGACTTAGAAGGACAGTGGGACCAGGTATGAGGTGAGGGAGTGATGAAAAGGTGACAGTGGAGCTGGCAGGACTCTCTGGTGTCTAAATATCGAAGAGCAAAAACCCAGGTGTCTAGGTAACCCCAGGGAAATTGGCCTGGGCAGTAAGGAGAATAAAGCTGCCATTTACTGATGCTCTGGGGCAGAGCATGGGAAAGGGATATGTTCTCCAGATGGAGAGGAGACACATTGCATTGTGTGTGGGTTAGGCAGGTTACCTGGGATGCATGTGGAGCGACTTTGCAGGTTTTTAGCCATCAGGGAGGCAGCGCTTTAAGCAGAGCTGAGTGGGCACCTGATGCATGTTTGTGTTACCTGGGTTAAGGGTACCAACCCAGTGTAGGCACAGCCAGGCCTTGGATGCAGGCATAGCTGGATTCAAGCTCAGTCTCACCACCTATTCTTTGGTAACCTTAGCATGTAACTCCTGAGCCTCAGGCTTACATCTGTAAAATGGGATGGCTACACGTGCCCTGCAGGTAGGAGGTACCGAAAAGTTTTAACAGACCCTGTGCCTGCTGGGTGTCCTGCAATCACTGCTCTCTGCTGGGTCTCCCACTGGTGATGGCAGGTGGCCGATAACTACCCCTGCATCTCTGTGGCACCTTAGTCCAGCCCCAGGGTGCAGCTTTCTTCCAGCTCTGCAGAAAACTGATCAATGTGATTGTTAAACACAAATTAAATGTTCACAAAGATACTTCCAGACTAAGCCCACCCTGTTCCTCCCACCAAACCCTCCACCCTCTAGCAGCTTTTCCTAAAGGGGTATAGGCAGGGCTGGATAGACCCCCATTTCTCATCCCAGCAGCTGTATTCTACCTCCTCCATTCTTCAGGTCACATCCTGGTGGTGAGGGACCTCCCAGTGCTGGCAGCTCCCACCTGGTGTCTTTGCCATACTGTTTGCCACCCTCTTCATGTCCCAGCTCATCTCTCCTGCCTCCCCTCCTTGACACCCTGCAGAGACTTCCTTGCAGTGTGGAAATGCAGCCTGCATAGCATCATTTGAGCTCACACACATATGCCAACCCTGCTGCTTGATATCTTAGGGATATTCCTTGGTGTCTGTGAACTCAGCTCCTCTCCAGGTTGTTTTGTCCCCTCTAGGATGAGAGCACTACCCACCGTGCTCCTTGCCTGGCTCTCCTCTCCCTCTTTCCCTGACCTGAGGTCCTGTGCCTGCCTTCCTTTGGTGATGTTGGGACCCCTGGTCCAGCCTTTTCTGCTTTGGCTCATGCTCTTAGCTTTACCCCAGGGATGACCAGAGGGCCTCTCCAGAACTCCATAGTCCCAATATTGGGGAAGCTGATATTCCTGGGCACCTGGATGCACATGACTAGTGGTGACTTGGTCTTTGAATCGAGCCTCCTGAGGCCTGTGTTATAGGTGGATAAACTATTGAGGGCTGACCACCCACTAGGCCCTAAGATCACAGGACTCAACCTGTCACCCAGGATCATCCAGCCCTCTCCTAGTTGCTCCCATACCTGTTCCAAAATCAGAATTTCTCTGCTATCCCCAGTATCAGTTGCCTCTATCTTCCTCATGATCATTGAGGATACTACTTAATGTACCTTGCTACCTCCTCCTTCCTTCTATCTTTCCTTCTCTTCCCTCCTTCTTTCCCTCCCTCTCCAGAGCAGTCTCTCCAGTTAATTCAGTGAATATCTTTAAAGAGGGAGAAAGGGGAATAGCACACACAGGGTAATGTCCTAAGCTACCCATCTAGGTTACTTTAATAAGAGTGATTGGAAATTCCTTCTTCAGCCTCACTGGCTCCTCCTCCAGAGGGAGGGGCTGGTCTGGGGGCTTTTAACCTCCCCAGGTCTCTATCCTGTGGCCTGAGGGTACTCAACCTCCCCACCATCCATAATGCACTTCTTAGGCCCTGTTCTTCACAGTGCCAGCTCTTGGCAAGTTCTGTTTAATGCTAGACGTGGACCTTGGCACCCAAGTAGAAACAGCCCTGGGAAAGACAGACAGGGAAGGTGGGGTAGCAAGTAAATGAAGCCAAGGGTGGCAGGTGGAAAGGGGCAGAAGAGCTGATTTCCCCACTGCCTCTCTGGCCCCCTCTTGTGTCAAGGCCTATCCCTTGGTGCCCCTTGCTCTGGAGTGTGCTTTCTGATCCCTTAACCCCAGGACCTGACATCTGTTTCTGTGGTTTTCCTCAGTCTTAGCAGTGGCCAGGCCCCAGAGCCAGATGCTAGTTCTGTCTCATAAGGGCATGTCCCCTTAGGCCCCTACCCTTTAGAAGTCCCACCTGTTGTGGATGTTGCAGGAAGCCAGGAGATGACTGGGGTTTGATCATCCTGGGAAGTGACAAGGGAGTAGGGAGGACACTGGGAGTGTCAGGTACAACTCAGAATGGACTCTGGCTCCAGGCACTTCCCTGCAGTCCACATGCCCAGCTCTTTCTCTTTCCTCAGAAACCCAAAGACTTGGACTTCGCCCAGCAGAAGCTGACTGACAAGAATCTGGGCTTTCAGATGCTGCAAAAGATGGGCTGGAAGGAGGGCCATGGTCTGGGCTCCTGCGGGAAGGGCATCCGGGAGCCCGTCAGCATGTACGTGGCACAGACTCGCAGCCCCCACAGGTGGACAAGGTCAAGCCCTAAAGCCTTTGGCCTGCAGCCTGAGTCTTGGTTCCTCTCCTGTTGAAAATGGCTTAAAGTTGGCAGCTGGGTTTTTGGTTTGGGGGTTTGTTTGGTTTTGGTTTTGATTACTTTGTTTTTTGTTTTGTTTTGTTTTGTTTTGTTTTGTTTTGAAACAAAAGGAGCCTTCAAATGAGAATTAACTATTTATATACATACCTTCACATTGGCTCCTTCCTGTATCTGTGTAGACCATTCAGCTGCTTCTTGGCCCTAGTCATTTCAGCCCCGTTTATTATGGTCGTAAAAGCTGAGTGGTGTTTTGGGGTACATATGCCTTAGAATCACACTCCCTTCCAAGGGAAACCGGTCCACCAGGATGGGAAAACGTAGACCCAGAGTTTATGAGACCCTCCTCATAACGTCCAGAGGTCATCTCATTTACTGCTGAGATAGCTTCTATGGGATAAGGTGATTTACTGGGACCAGGGTTTCCGGGCACCTTGAGGTGGCTAGTGCTCTTGAGAATGAGTGAGTGCTCCTGGTTTTCCATTCTTTGTTATTTTGATTTTCCTTTTCTTTTGATGTCTTTGTATGTGTCCTGCATTTCTGTGTCCCACTACCACTCCAGCCCATATTCCAGTCTCTGCGTCCCAAGCTCTGGGATCAGGTACACAACTAATCCTCCATTTTACTTCTTAGGGGAACTGCCTCAGAAGGGGAGGGCTTGGGTGCCGAAGGGCAGGAGCATAAAGAAGACACATTTGACGTGTTCCGTCAGAGAATGATGCAGATGTACAGACACAAACGGGCCAACAAATAGGTATGTGTGAGAGCCGGTGCATGAGGACTTCTGCCCACGCTCACATCCTGGTGTGTAACATTTCCCCCAGAAAGGCTGATGTTCCCCACTTCCTCAAAAGCGGACAATCATAAAATTCTGTGAAGGAAATAAAAGGGTCTTTGGATGTGGATGTGTCCCACTTCTTCCCTTCCAGGTTTGCTGGAGCAACAAGCTTCACACTAGCTAAGGCGTGGCCAGCCTGCCTCATGGACTGTGCCTCATGGCCTGACCACCCTGGCAGTAGCTTCTGTGCTGGGCTCTGAGGACGTGCATGCAGGCTGTTCCTTGCCAGTTCACATGGGACCAGGCTGCCTCTGGCCTCTCTCTTGCTCTACTTTTCTCTCACAGATGACAGCCACCTGCCACATAATGCAGCCAGGACACGGACTGTTCCCTAGTCAGGAGTGGCCTTGCTATCCGGAAGTATAAGGATGGACGTGGAAGCCAAAACCACAGGGAGCAGCGGTTGGCCACATCCTTTTTTGAGGGTCTTCAAATCCTTTTTCTTCCAAAGGGCCTTGGGCCTTTAAATCTCATACTCTTTCTTTAGTTACCCTTCACCCATGACTTCCCAACTCTCAGTTTTGAACAAAATCGTTCTTTTCCTGACTAGATCAGAACCACTGATGAGAAAGATAAACCTTGAAGCCGCAATTACTCTTAAACCATCATCCTGCCCTGGATCTGCCTGGAGCCCAAGTATGGTGTGGTGTGTACTTGAAAACCAACATCTGCAGTCTCTGGGGTGGAGGTTTCCAACGCCAGCCTGCCTTTCTCTTAAAGAAAAACAGAATGACCATTCTCAATATACTTTTTGCCTTTCCTCTCTCTTCCAAATGCTTTCCACATCAAGTCCTCTCCAAGTCTGTCTTGGTTCCTCTCCAAAAGATGGCACTGCCCAAAAGTACTTTGGCCTATTAAGTGCAGTGGACCCAGCTCCATGGTTAAGTTTCTGGCACAGGGGTCATGGCTGTCCTGGAGCGCCAAAGGCCATGCAGACACAAGTGCAGATTGTGCTTTCCTGCCCCCCAGAATTTTATCTAGGGATACAGATTGGTAATCTCCAGGTCTACACTCTGATACTAAAGCTGAATGGAGATCTCTGAACAGTTCAGATACTTGCTTTATTGAACATATTAATGGCATTTTATCTCTTTAAAAATCCTGAGACTTCACCAGTTTTTAGCAACAGTCTAATATAGCTGTATTCAGTGGGGAGTAACATTAAACAGATATGAAATTTCTCCCAAATGTATGTGTGACTAGAATCCACAAAGGAAACAGGATATACTTGGTATTTTTGGATTTGATTTTTCCTCCCATGCTGAGAATGGAAACCAGGGATTTGCACATGCTAGGCAAGTGTACTACCATCAAGCTACATCTCCCAACCTTATAATTTTTTTTATATTGAGACAGGGTCTCACTGAGTTGCCCAGGCTGGCCTTGAATTTGTGATCTTCCTGCCTCAGCCTCCCAAGTAGCTGAGATTACAGGTGTGCACCACTGCACCTAAGCCACTGGATTTTTTTTTTAAGTGCATATGGAGTCTTCCCTACAAAGGGCCAAGAGGCTATAAATTCTCCAAGACTTCATCTGTTACATGTGCAGCAATGTAAAGAATTGTTGTCTTAGAGCTTTTGTAAAGAACAGAAAGGCTTCTCTCAGAAGATTGGCTCTGCAGCTGTTTGCTATTTCAAGAAGGTAATTGCAGAACTTTCCAGATTCCTCAACACTCTCCTACTTTGTAACTCCATGTGGAATGCTCAGACTGGGGGCATCTCAACCCTTCTTCATAAAGCAGCAGTGTTGAACTTTTAAATGTGTGCTAAAATCTGGAAAATTTGGAATCCTGCTGACACCCAGCCATTGGGTTACCCAGCAACAATTAGGGTGTCAGCCACAGAGCCGAGAGAGATTCAGGACTGTGAGGAATCCTTGCTTTCTGAAAGCCACAGCCCTCCCAGGCTGTGCTCCTACCTCTGGGTTCTGTCTGGCCCTACTGTCCCCACTCCATGCTGCTTCTCTTCATGGCAGGTGCGGTCCCTGGGGCCTGCTTGCTTCTGGTCACTTCTGTTGCTTTGGCAACTGGCAGATCTTTATGGCTGAGGAGGTGCCAGCACTGAGGATGAGCCTCAGTCCAACTCTCAAATAAGCCAGCCTGCAGGGGGGGCGGGAGGACAGATTTGGGGGACCCCAGGTATGGAGGTTCATCTTCTCTTTTCTATCCTCACCTTTCCAGCAACTTCCATGTTGACCATGGGTCAGGTGAACAGATGGAATTCAAAGCAGGCACTAGTCCATAGAGGCCTCTTGAGAAGTGCTCATTGTCCCTTAGCAGGGCACATTCCCCCACCCCCAGCATGGATATCTAGCTCTTTCTTTCCAGCTTAGCTTTGACTGTTGTGCACACTTTGTCCTAACCTGTTAATTTTAATTTATTAAAAAGCAAAATACTGAGGAATTGCTGGTATGTGAGCTCTGGTCCCGAGCTTCCTGCCACTCCTAGACACATCTCAGTTTGACCTGAGATTATTTCAGTGAGCCTTTGACTAATGTCACAGTAACAACCATTTCTTGAACCTAAAAAGTCCCATAAATGCTGGGAGGATGCTTTTCCTATAGTTTCATGTCAAGGCTGTGAATATGTCCCAGGGAACTTGGGGAATGTGGCTGTGTGTCCTGGTGCTGGGCCAGGGCTAATGCCACTGGACCTCTATTCCTTCCTCTCTTCTCTTCCTCCACCCAGGCTACCATTGCTCTCAGGTCAAGGCCATTCTACAGGGAGGGAGCATTATGTGCAAGCGGGATGTGCAAGTGTGTGACCTTGTCAAAGTCACTGTTTTTTCTGTCATTCTAGTTCCAGGGTCTCTTCCACGAGGACGACAGGCATCCGGAAAGTGCTAACCTGCCACTTTGGGTGCTTACCGTCTCTGACTTGTTTCCATCACTGGAAATCCCATAGACAATGTTAGTGATTTTGGTTCTTGGTAAAATCTAGAAGATGTTTGTGATGTTACCAAATGAAAGTTTTGTTTTTTAAGAACCTAAGAAGTTGTGAATGTTGTCAATCATTTAGCAGTTGCAATAAATGTAGAGGAAACCCAGTTTCCTGTGATCTCAATTGATGTGTTTTTAATCAGACCTATCAGAAGATGGTAATGCGGACATGCTACTGAAGGTATGCTGCTGCCCAGGACCTGCTCTCTGCTGGCCCCAGGACTCTTCCCTCGTGTCTCTCAGGCTTGCCCCAGTGAGGGGGTCCTTGCATCACCAGGGGAGCAGAGAGATGCCATAGAGCTAGTGGCCAAGCTCTGGGAAGGGGGATCCTGGTCTGTGTGGGGAGTTAATTGCAGAGAGCACAAGCCTTCTGTTGAGGGTGTCAAGGAGTGACAGCTCATGACTCATCAGCCTCACCTAATCCTGGCTTGGGGTTTCAGCTGCAAGAGGTACATTTGGGCCTTCCTTCTATTGAGGAGTGACTTCTAGGGCATGATCAAAGCTACCCATTGTTCCCTGTGCCTCCTGATCAGGTGGTATGCATTTAGGTCCCTGCCAGCAGGTTAGAGACAGACAACAGGGCCATAGGGAGCTGGTGCAGGACCCCCCCCCCCAAATCATTGAGGACAAGCAAGACCCACGGTATGAGTGTGGTGAATGAGCAGGCCCTTTCCAGGCACCTCTACCCTATCTTGCCTTCAACTCAGACCACCCCATTCAAGAGAGAAGCAGAGGTAGACGGTCCAGGGAAGGAGGGGTAAGTTGCCTCCCCTCCCCCCCCCCCATGCTTGTAGGGGGTTTAAGGGCTCTGAGTATCTGATGATGAATCCCTACTGAGGCTGGAGCCACAGTGTTGCCCAACTACCATTCTGCCAGCTGCACAACCCCATAGTATAGATGGGGAAACAGGCCTGGGAAGAGGAAGAGCTGGGTCCCAGGCTACACAGTTGGGGGCCCCTTAATCCTTCAAAACCATCTTTTGAAGACAGAACCTGCCTCAGTCTCCCATCTGGGTGTGGGCTGGCACCTTGTCACAGCAGGGAGCAACTCCTTGAGAAGAACCACTTCCTACTCCTGAATGTCAAGTGTGGAGGAGCCCTTGTGCTTCCAGGTCAAGAAGGAGCTGCACCCCACCCTGCCCCTTGCCCCCTCTCTGCCTGTGGACCTTCGTCCAATCTTCAAGGCCCTTCTTCCATGACCCTCCAGAAAGGCCCAACTGCCCTTCTGGTTTCTCCAGTCCTATTCTTGGCCACCCTGAGCTGGAGCTGTCAACATCCCACTGCCACATGCAGGCTAAAGGCTTCTCTTCTAGGGCTTGAATCTTCTCTTCAGATCCCCCCAGCGCTACATTCATGTTTGATGAAAAGACAGTGAACAATATATTCCACAGTGTCTGAAGTCCCATCCTAATGGGTGGGTCCCAGTTTTGGACAGGCAAACTAGGGCCAAGTCCTAGATGAGGCACAATAAGTGAACTCTGGTAAGTCACTCCCCGCCCGCACTGGATTTGATTTCCTTCATCTATGACATCAGCTGATAAAGGATGATGTATGTGGGCCTAGAAGGAGAAATCCACAGGGTACTGTCAAAAGACAACATTTCAACAAATGGAATTAAGTGATCTTAACATTATTTGTGACTCTGGATTGACTAGTATCTCATTCAAAAATAGGAAGGGGCTGGGCATGACGGCACACTCCTGTAATCCCAGCAACCTGGAAGGCAGAAACAGGAGGATCACATGCTCAAAGCCAGCCTGAGTAATTTAGCAAGACTCTGTCTCAAAATAATAGAAAGGACCAGGGCTGTAGCTCAGTGGTAAAGCACCCCGGGTTCAATCTTCAGTACGTATGTACATATGGGGAAGTAAAGGGATGTAACTCTGGCACAGCATTTACCTAGCATGCTCAAGCCCTGGGCTCAATACCCAGCACTGGGGTGGGGGGAAGTCCTTAAGAGTAAGATTCTCTGCCCCAGAGCTCCCTAAATGTTATTTTGTTCCACCTCATGGCCAGTTTGATGCAGCCCAAGGTCACTGTTGATTACCAAATTCAAAGTCCTTCTGCCTCTAACCAGCTTTGTCAAATCAAAGAACACAGCTCACTAGTCTCAGGGAGGCATCTGGACAAGGTGGGATAGTAACCCCATCAAAGCCACAGCCATGAAGTAAAATACCTTCAGCAAAAATTGAATCACTTCAGATAGGCGAGGTGGTGCACTCCTGTAATCCCAGTGACGTGGGAGACTGAGGCAGGAGGATTGCACTTTCAAGGCCAGCCTGAGCAACTTAATGAGACAGTTGTCTTAACAAAAAAAAAGGCTGTGATGTACCTCAGTGGTAGAGTGCCTGCCTAGCATGTGTGAAGCCCAAATACCACAAAAAAAAAAAAAAGAAAAGAAAGCAGATTGTTTTGATTGATATGGAGTTAATTCAGGTTATTTTTCCTTCCAAGGGTTAAACCAAAGGAATCTTCTTTATCATGACAGCTAAAACTGCCTGTGTGGGAATTTGGCTATTATCTCTCCTGATTTTTTGGAAGGTCAGATAAACACTTCCATTTATGGTGAAGTGGAACATTGGCATGGGACTCCATTTTGATTTGGTTTGTTGGTACCTAGTTCAGTAATCAGTCATAATCAGTGTCCTCCTATAATTTCATTTATAGTATTGCAATTAAAAAGTCACTTTTCTATAGTGTTACATTGCTGTTTTAATATAATTTATTATGCTATATAGAAACAGAAGTACATTGGGAGACTGGGGCAGGAAGATCACTTGTGCCCAGGAGTTTGAGCTCAGCTTGGGCAACATAGTAAGACAGGTGAAGGAAGGAGGGAGGGAGGGAGAGGGAAAGAGGGATGAAAGTTAAGTCAGTCAAATACACAAACACCCAATAACAAATTCTGGAAAATTCCACAATTACCTATTACAAAGCGGACTGGGTTGCAGGATGGAATTTTTAATTTATCTCATACATTTCTGCATGGTTTGAAATCTTTGCTGACGTGACTTTAGTACAACAAAAAGTTGAGTTCTATGCAAACCAGGATGAAAACCTCAGCCTTGGATTCATTTTAAAAATTAAAGATCACAAAACGTGGACTCCAGGCCAACCAACTATGACCAATTTTCTGATGAGGGGTGGCTTTTCTCGACTCAAAACCTTCCCCATCCAGGACTGGGGTTGTGGCTCAGTGGTAGAGCCCTTACCTAGCATGTGTGAGGCCCTGGGTTCGATCCTCAGCACCACATAAAAATAAAATAAAGGTATTTCGTCCACCTACAACTAAAAAAAATAAACAACTTTCCCATCCAGTGAAAGCCAGCCCATTTCCCAAAGCAGAAACTGAGACCTAGCACCATCTCAGGAAGTCTCATCTGGTTTTTGCAGAGCTGGGATGGAACCCAGGGCCTCATGCATGCTGGACAAGGGCTGTGCCACTCAGCCACTTTCCTGGCCACC